TTGCGGAATAACTTCGGATTGATCCTTGCGATCCAATCCCCCCTCCGAAATCATAAAGGCTGCTATATGAAAGAACGTGTAGTTTAAGAGAAAAAACAACACAAAAAGAGGGAAATGAAAAGTAGCAAGAGGTGTTGTTTCATCCAAAGAATCAAGCAATTTGATCCGAAGAAAAAGAGATTTCTACATTCTATTGATTCCGAAGAAAAAGAAAAAAAAGTTTGAAAACGAATTAACCCTTACTTGAAAAAAAAGTTTGAAAACGAAATTAAATTTCAAAGGGAAAAAGCAAAACAACACAAAAAGTTTTAAGAGAAAAAGCAAAACAACTTGAGATCACAAACGGAAAGTCGTTCATTCTTCTGATTTTGTAGAACACCACAGTCCTAATTGACAATCATGAACCCTTACTTGAAAAAAAGGCCAAAAAGAAATTTCACAATAAAGAAAGAGCATTCTATGGCTCGAAGAGCTTGGAGCTTGAAGCTTGTGTAAGCGTGGAAGAGCTTGGAGCGTCAACCTTTGAGCTTTCAAGCTCGCTCGAAGCTGCTTGAAGTTCGAAGTTCAAGGCTTGAAGCGCGAAGCGCGAAGCTCGAAGCTCGAGGCTCGAAGCTCGAGGCTCGAATGTTTTGTAGATACTGAGATTAAATGGATGAAGTTCGAAGGGGTGGGTAATATTGCAAGTATGGCAGAAATCAACTAGTCATAAAAGCTTTCCTTTACCGAAATATTCTGAAGCTTCACTACTAAGACAATATGAAAGCTTAAATTACAATAACAACGATCTACTGGTCAGCAAGAACCCTTCCTAATGCGATCTTCTCAGATGGTGGTCTTGATGATATGTGGCCAACGTGACTGCGTATTGCATCTAGCAGTATGAGACATTGCATGTTGACTTCATGGGCGTTCTTGGAGTTTTTCAGGCGCTCCACTATCACATTCTGCTAAATGGATCATGATTAGCATCAGGAGCACAATATAATCGAAATTGGTACTCACCAGCCAAGAATGCAGGTTGTCCTGATACAACTTTAGAAGAGGTCTTGTTTCGTTCAAAAATGTTGAGATCTCATGCGTCTGGCTCAGTATTTCTCTGATTGATTGAAGATTTAGGTTCAAGGCCTGACTGCTGGTGGACCCAAACGCGTCTGTGATGCGGCTGAATCTGGAACCTTGAGTCAATTTCCTTTCCATAACGTGAAGGTGGTACCTTGCATCCTCGTTGGCTTTGTTCGTGATATGAATTGTATCAAGGATTTTTGTTATAGACCTTGATAGGATACTTAACGAATCACGATGACGGTCGAGGATCCTTTTGGCGCTCTGCATGTCACTGGTAGCTTCCTGACGATTGAACCAGAAGATAAACTGCGTAGTTCATAAGCATCCTGTCAGTCGTTGATATTCTGCTCAAACATCTTGCATTGGCCTTATTCACCTCACGCATGAAGATTTCAAGCTCAGTTTGTCCTTTGCCGTTGAGCTGGCGTGTCATGTCGGAGACCAAATCAATGTTATCCAAAACCTTTGTCAGCAGGCTCACAGTAGCTGATGACTCTGACAAATCCGTGAAAGTCTTCAGGACACCCGATGATTCTCGAAGCGAAAGAAAATCTACAGGTTTGAGAATTGCATGGTTGCTGAGAGACTTCATTGACTCGATGAAGGTGACCGGGGTGTGTTGGATCTTTCGAAGTTCTGTCAAGGCCCGACCTGATTTGATTTGGTCTGTTGCTTCCTTCAGCTGATCAACTTGTGTAGCAAAAGCACTTCTACGAAATCAGGACACATAGTACGCGCAACGGTGAGCTATTTTTAACAGCTAAAACAAACATCTGAGAAGTGATTTACTCTGGAAAAAAATACCAAGCCATTATGAGTGCGATAGCACATGATAGTATATACCGTAATTGCCGAGCGTGACGTGGACGACGAAATACTTCATGATCTGGTGTATGGAGCGGTGGAGGTTTGGTATCGGACACATTGACACTCGCGTTAGTCGACAAGTCCGAACTGGATGCGAGCCAGTCTGGGTTCATGTTTGATGACGATGGATCGTAATTAGGGATTGTGGCCATACTTATGCAGCCAATGCTTCGTACGAATAATAGGATGATTATTGAGACAATTGATATGTATGTACAGTGTTCACTCAAGTCTCGGAAGTCGAAGTGCCGAAGATCAGAATAGTTCGTCATTAAATATGATGGGTCAGGCTACGTTTTTGTGTACTCTACGCATGCTCTGAGTGAGAGCTACTGAGCCTAACGCTCGCGACTTTTTTGCCATTGATGCCTTTCTAGTGCTCAGGATAACACAACTTGATGAGCGCTCGCACACACTTGCGCAGTCAAATACCTGGAAAGAGGTTCCCAGAGAGAGCGCAGTAACCGACTCAGTACTAAGTCAGTTTCGAACTAGGGGTCAGAGTGCGTGTTTACTTGAAAGGTGCGGATTTCGTCTCATTTCAGAGGTTCCAGAAACAGCTGGAATTTTGATACGTAAAGCGAATATCTGGTAACAAAGGATGGCCGAGGGTTCTCACCTACAAAGGATATGCAGAGCACCACTCGAATACTCAGACTCTTGAGGACTCTTTGTCCATCCGTGTCCCAACCTTTTCCCAACGTACTCTACTCGGCACTCCTCGAAAACCTTTACAAACACGCAATAAATCTAATATATCTGCGTAAGCCCAGGATGCGTAGTTGATATCAACCTAATGACTAACCCATAAACTAAATCGCCTTTTACGTTGGCAGGATAATGGTTCGATTATCTTTGTCGGTAAATCTTTTGAATTGGGCTCTATTAGCTCTATTGGCGGTATCGATTCCTGGTATTCCCAACGCTATCCATCGTTACCTCGTAAAGCGTTTCAGTGTCCGTGTTCCAAAGGTGTCGAACTTGTACTGCACGTATATCGGCGGTCCTTATTTTTGCGGACCCAAAGACAGTAATCGCTCGAATAAAGTGGCTTCGCTATCAAACACCGTAACATCGACTGCACGCTCCGCTGGGGATATTTTCGAATCTATCCTTGACCTAGGAAATCCCAACCACGTCCGTCTTTACCAAGACGAAATTCTAGAACTTTCTCAGGCCATTGCTGCCTCAGACATATTGGAGAAGAAGGACCAACTTTCCGAAAGTGTTCAGAGCCTCAGCGAGATGACCAGAGATGTGAGAGACAGGGTTAATCTCTTGAATAGTGCAAGTATATCAGTATTGCGAAAGGTCTTCCAGAAAGTAAGTATGTTCTTTCCTCGCATGCATACAATCGATGCCATCCAAGGGGCAGTCAATAGTCAATCTCCGAACTAATAGTCATCTTCGAGACAAGCTTGAAGTGATCGGGCTTGTTCTGACTTCCATTGCCAGTGGGGACAATGTATATTCGACTACGTCAGCGCAGGTCAGATTGAACGATATGGTCCAAACCATCTCGGACGGGTTTTCCGGGCTGCAAGCGCAGATAGATGCCGCCATTCCTCTGGTCAGACAAGGGTCGAATTTCGCAGCCAACGTTGGTGCTCAATTTGCACAAGAAAACATGCAACTGCGAAAAATCAGGGCTGGTATCCCGTTTTGGCAACGCTTAGTAAACTTCAATACTTGGGGAAGTCAATCGCTCACTCGGAATATTGCAATGAATTCGGAAAGCGCATCAACATTGAGGTCTATTGCAACAAGGCTTGAAGACCTCCGCGCAGCTCTTGTAACCTTTCATGGAAACGCGGAACATTTTCGTGTCAGTGTGTCTACATCTTGCCTAGTTTCTGGAAAAATCTTTAATCACAATTTGTCATCAGTCCGAGATCATAGGTAATCACAATTCATGTCGTGAGCTAGCAATTGAAGACGAATTTCGGGCAATGAGCCAGGTGATTGGTCGCTTCAATCAGCTCACCCAGGCAGCTGGAACCAATTTCAAAGCAAATCGCGCGAATTCGCCGACCCTTTCAGCCTGAAGCGTGCCACGATTTACTACCTGGTGTTGTCAATCTGAGATTTATGCTTCGTTAGCAACCCTCAGAGGACATAGGAGCTCTACTTGCCTAGTCCATGATCCATTTGGCACCATCTTTTTTACCTGTCTTAGTAATTTTACTTTTTTTCCTTGTATAAAGTTTTACATAGTTGGATCCACATCAATCTTCCTGTTGATCATAAATTATCACTCACTCCATCACATCAGAGCTTCGCCAGTGGGGTAAAGAGTGTTATAGCTTTTGTTGTTCTTGACCTCTATTTTCTTTGAAATGCTCGAAATATCTTCTTAGATTGTTAATCACAAAAGAGCGATAACAAGAGCGATAACAAACGGAGAAGTTCGGAATCGAATTTCGAATTTATATTGGGTTACACATGCTCATTCTCATTTCAAATCTCATGACAATAGCCTTGAATTTGGATTCATGATATGTCGAATTACTCTGATTGGGTTATGTATTGATATGTCCTGGTATACATATTGTTTGTTACATCATACGCAATTGTGATCATCATGATTTAATTCAGTCGGTAGACGCTGGGCTCATAACCTCTTGAGCTCTGGAACAGTCAGAGAAAGAGACAAAGGAAAGGTGTGTAAATTTCACGGACTAAATCAGACAAAAAACAGAGAAACAGAAAACAGAGAGAAATCCTACCTGGAACAGTCAGAGAAAGAGACAAAGGAAAGGTGAAGAAGAAGCACCTTTCCTTGACTGCTCCAGTAGGATTTATATAGTGAAACTTTTACATAACGGTTTTCACATGATGTAATATGTTTGTTGAGCACACACTTAGATTCTACGTATCATGGGTTAGTCTCACAGGACTTTTACATAAAGAATTAAAAGTCATGCAGGACTATCCCAACACTCAAAAGGTCCAATTTTCTATTGACCATTGTTCCCGTTTCTTCTTTATCGAAATCAAGCTTATTAATAAGTCGAGTAAGAATACTATCATTTTTACTCGAAACTATCTATAGTGACCGGTATATGAAATTAACCAGCTTGAGCTCTGTTGATCAAATCTTCACCTACGTAGATCATCGTGTGGCCTTTGAGTCATAGTGTTTGATAGCCGCCCACCTCATGGGAGCGCTTTGCACAAAGCAATGGCAATGATAAAAAAGTATATAGGGATTGGTGGAGACAAACACAAGCATAAGGCCAGTAATATATACACATTGAATTCTAACCATCTCAACACCTGCGTAGACCGCTGATATGTTCTGGCATCACCAATAATTTAACTTGGAGTCATATCGACAGCGACTCTCTGGATCAAGCAAAACTTTAGCGGCCGCCGAAATCTGAAGGGAACGGAAATTTTCCAGCATCAGAATGACACGGAAAAGCGGAATGATTCAGATTCAAGCTTGAAATGAAATCACCTGTTGTGCTACCCCAGTGTGACCACCCTTGTCTGGATGAAAATACAACATACACAGTTTCCAACGGCTTTTGATCACTGCGGCATCCGCCGTTCGCGTAAGAGCCAGCTTCTGGTTCGAGGATCAGATCTAGATCAGCATGAATTTCGGGGCAGGAATATCCAGTCGATATGCACTCACCTCGTAAAGCGTCCTTTGCCTTTGTTCTTGGGCTTGATGGCTGCAAGATGTGGGGTCACACTGTTGTTTATTAATGGCACGCCTGTAAAGCTGTGACATCCAAAGATAATTCTTATCAAGAGTGTCAATGTAGAACCGACTTTCAGGATTCCAAACTTGGTTTAGGATTTCTTCGCCCTCCTTCAGTTGGCCAATGTGCAAATACGCCTCAACAAGCAGTAGATGAATTCTTATAATTTGTTCCTTCATTTTTTTATCAATTACCTTTTGCTCTTCTGCTATTCGTTTTCGCCCCCCTTCCAAAAGTGAAATGGCATCGTGTGATTTTTCTTGAGATAAAAAATCCTCCGCATACACACATATCAGATTCAAAAGTTCATTGGTGGTGAATTCATCTTTACGAACGTCTGATTCAGACTCCTTTTGAAAGTAAAAAATTGAAATTCACTTGTTAGTTATCTGACGCAAGAGCGCATTACCAAAGAAAACATCCACCGACATAGTTCGCATGAGAGTGAGAGATGCTCTGTAACCTATCTTCAACTTCGAAATACAAATGGGATAGTTCCAGATAGTTTGGATGTGTGGAAGGTATGGCTAGGCTTGAATCTGGGCGCCAAGCTTGTTGGAGAGTTTCGAAGGCCGCTTGCGGGCGCTTCAGCTTCAAGTAGCATCGTGTAAGATTGAAACACGAAAGAATCCATCCCGTATGGGGGCCTCTATTGGTCGCACCATGTTTGCTCTCACATCTTGACATTTCGTCGGCATACAAATTTAGGAGTTGCTGATATGTTTGAACAGAGTCTGCATACATTCCTTTAGAGTCGGCGAATTCAGCTGCATCCATGAGTTGATTGATGTGGTCCTGATCCTGTAAGGATGGGTCAGGCGGATTTCGGTGAGACTTGGAAGACGAAAAGGTATCAAAGAGATGCGAAAATTAGTGGGAGCAGTTACGAGGTTCAAAGATATCACTAACTCACCATTCTTCCCGCTTTACTGCATTTGATCGGGCGGTAGACTTGGGTTGTTGCTTCGCTTGATTCGGTGTCCGGTAAACACATCGATATGATCTCTTTGGACGGGACGACGAGGGGGCTTCGCTTGCTTCGATTCGTAATAAGCGCTTGTGGGATGTCTTCGAACGCAATGGTATACTCATTTCAAACATGCCAGTTCTACTAAATTTTACGATGCGGGCTGAATGGTTTTGGTGTATGCGTAGTCTACAGGCCACAAATGTGATAGGAAGATACATATCTACAAGGAACAAGATCTTATATAGAGATGTGAGTGAACCAGGTGGAGTGAACTATGGATACTCACTTCGTTCATCTGAGCTGACGATTCAGTTCCATTCAGGCCTCCTCGAAGGAGGCGCTGAGTCACGCGATTGACGGAGATCACTTCATCACAGGTTGCGTAGCTTCAATTGATACTGAACACATTTAGCCCACACACTCTCACTCAGGTGCTTGCTCAACAGCTTTACGCCTTGGTTTGCCTACCCATTTTGACTCCTTCTCAGGGATCACGAACCTGGTCTTGGCCTCGGTCATTACAGACCCAGCTTGTTGGATTATAAAGCTGTGAGCGTTGATGCTCAAATCCAAAGCTGTACTGAGCTTAGCTCAGCCACCGCGGTAACAAGGGATGTGATCGCGGCACATCTACCACTTATCTGCTGAGCTGCGCGTACGCAAAGGCGCCCCTTTCGAATTTTCTCACATATTGTATCATTTGGCTGCTCAACCGAGTTGCCAATGTCATATATATATATATATATATATCCTCGATAGTAAAACGTATCGACCATCACTCTTCATTTGACAATCATACTTATCGGCCATCACTCTTCGACATCTGAGATATCTGCTCATTGGCGGTGTATTTTACAAAACCAACTTGCTGGCAAATATCCCGTCATCGCTCTAAATCGTTCGCCTCACAAAAGCAAACTATATAAAAGTTTAAGATTTCAATCGTGATGTCAACTTCGGAAATGCGTCACAAAATGCCGCCGCCCGAGAAGGGCAATCCCCACAGTTTTGGTCGTAGGGCCGGGTTCCGAGTGAGAGCAGCTGTTGATCAACTTTCGCGACATGCCCCCGCGATGCATGTTCTCTTATTAATACTCCTGTCCATAAGTCAGTACAATTTGTTTGCTTGGTCTTTGTATACGTCTTGAAGGCTGATTCGACACATATTTTCCAGCAACATGTGGGCGGACACACTTTCTTGAACAACGGTTAAAAAAAGTCGAGGGGGACCTCTTCGACATGCGAGTACAGCTGGTTCAACCTTGCACCAGCCTCTCGGCTTCATGGGAGGGTCTCAAATACAAGCAACGAGGCACATTCAATGATCCAGACGCGGTAAACATAGCAGAGAGTCTCCATCCCTCTATCATCTCGCCAGCATTTGTGAAGAAAAATCTTCATCACGTAGATGAAGGAGCTGCAGATACCAGGTTCGAAGACGTACACGCGGGAACGGATGGTGTTCAGGTTTGGCCGGAAGATCTCATAGGCGATGTCGAGAAAGGACTCCAAACAACCACGCAAGAAGATCCTAACCAAGTGCAAACCGGGTTACGAACAAGCTATATGGCGCGAGAAGCTTTCAAACAGTGTATCAAGGATCGGGACGGTCCCAGAGATTTTGCTTTTATGCACACCGGCGGCTACGTGATTCAATCCTTGACTTCAAAGTCTTATATTGCCTCTAAGAGTTGGCGAAGGCATCTGCCTTGGTCGAAAACGTCACGCTCATCCAAGTACACGAACACGAAGACACCCGGAACTGCACTGAGTGGCGATGGTTCAGCTGGAAACTGTTGGGCTTTCGTTGGATCAGTAGGGCAGCTTGGGATAGGGCTCAGTAGTACCATTGATATTACAGCCTTGTCGATTGAGCACATTGGAGCGCAATTAGCACAGAATGACATCACATCTGCACCTAGAGAGTTCGAACTTTGGGGGGTGAGTGATGACGGGGATGCAGTAGCCAGCACGACTCCGTTGTTCCAAGGGGTATACAATATCTCCAGCCCCAGTTCAACCTTACAAACATTCGAACTCAACAAATCACATAAGTTCGCCTACAGCAAGGTGCTGTTTAGAGTCACCTCAAACCATGGGAACCCGGGGTTTACTTGCATTTATCGGGTGAGGATACACGGCCAGTCAATTTTGTGAAATCATAAATGTAGTTCCTTTTCTTTCTTCTAGCTTTACCTTGTCAATACTTTTCTTTCAATGATACGTACCACAACCTAGTTTGTAAAGCTGTGCACTCTTTGTTAAGATGAACTCCGTAAAAAGTAACAAAGTCCGTGAAAGGGATGCGCGAAAATAAGAATATTCCAGCCATTCGAAATGAAACCTGCGCAGGGTTCCTGCTGTAGGAAGAGCAGTTTGACTACGTAGGGGCACATCTTTTCTGAGGGAATTTCAAGCGAGCTTTGTATAACGATTTGCCTTTGAAGAAACAACACGTGTCGTCTCCTACCTTTTCTCTTAATTTGAGTTTACGTCAGTATTCTGCAATCTAGCAAATGGATTCTGCTCTCACTTGCCAAGTCATCATGTGTTAGGTTCTGCTTAGTCGACTCGATACGTCAAGTCTTGGAAAATACAGAGATCGGAGTTGGAGAAGAATTAGGAATATTTGGTTCTTTGGTATTGAAGTCATTCAACCAAGTTACGTTGGCAAACCGTCAACAACGACAAGGGGAATTTGTGCTTCACAGTCCGCACAAAACCCAAAAGCTACCTTTCAATTTTTCGAACCGATCTGCTTTATCCAGTTCTGCCACTGCTCCGCGCCCTCTAGAATCAGATCGACTCACCCGAAACGTTTTGATCCGAGGCTGCTCCACACAAATCCTGTTGAACATATATCACACCAACTAATGGCGACGCGTAAAGGAGGCAACAACATCGCTTACAAGTGCCCTCATCTTCCTACGTGTTTTGATCCCACCAGCAAAGGAAAACGGTGCCAAGATTGCAACGCTTTGAACCTGACCGGTGTTCGAAAACACACTCTCAACACCAGGCGTCACAATTTTTGCAGCCCTGGATGCCCTGTCTACAAATGTCAGTTTCGCCAAACAGGAAAGGTCGTTTTCACCCATACTGATGATGTGAATCATAAATAGTAACCGATCTCAGTCATGTTAAATTTGCAAGAAAAAGATCCCCAGGCCAAATCGATCTACCTGTCCAATCGACTTCGACTCCAATTCCTTCATCCGAGCGGTCTTCTTCACCCTCCCCGCTTGCAAGAAAGACTTCACGCGACCAAAGGCAAAGCTCATGCGAGACGGAATCACCATCCGAGAACCACAGTAGAGCCGGGTCTAGTTTTCGACAGCGCTCTGTCCGTAACACTTCTACATGTACTCTTATCCAAGATGAATTACCCTGTACAGGTGCAATGCTCAAAAAGCCAGATAAGGTCACCTTTCTAGACTCGCATCATGACTCGTCAAAATACTCTTGCTCTGCCCGCGAAACCAGTCAACATTCCGACACTGCTCTCCCGAGCACTTCTACACGTACCACCTTCAAAAAGCACGTCATCAGCGAAGCATCACCCGGGGTTCCAAGTCTGCATCATGACCAGTTAAACAAAGTCACGGCTCGCAGTATGGAACCAGATTCGAACCGCCTACCGGTGTTCAGCAATGCTCAAAACTTGAAGGTGACAAACATGGCGGTGAGCGAACTCTCAACGCGGGATCCTGTCCTTCCAATCACATATTCTCGTTATGGTGAATCTTTCCGCCTTGATTGGAAGCTTGGAGTACTTTTAGTTGCATTCTTGTTCAATCTTTTCTGGTTTATCAAGGCATGTTTTGATGACTGAAAGGAGGAGGATCTAGATGTGTAGCGTCAAAGACAGTGTAGAATTGTACTTGGTCTGTTTGTTTGGTAAGCTTGTCGTACACATAGTTCTTTGTTGTTTGTGCTGTCTGTCACTTCACTTAAAAAGTCGATGTTTTTTTGACTCTACTTATAAATATATGGGCGGGTCCTATATTGATTGCTTCAACCAACATAATTGTATATTCAACTAAGTTCTCTTGTACCAAGACGTGCATCTTTTGTGTCCTTTAAAAATCTTTGTCATCATTTTGCAGATCACATATCGTTCATCCAAATCGGAAAATCCATTCGTCTCGAATCCAAAAAATTCAAAGGCTTTATTGTCACTATTAGTACTGTCCACAGACTCTTCGGGAGAGTTTGATGTGCAGTGGTACCTCTGATATCCTCTTTTCAAGCCTGGGCTCTTTTTTTTGCTCCCGTCCATCTTTCCCAAGAGAGCTCTCATGTGCCATTGGGCACCTGAGCCATCGAACTCGAATGAAAGAGCGAAGTTAGTTATAGCTCAGGTTGAAGACTAAAGTCATCATTTGATGTGACTACTTAAATTCGAACTTGAAGAAGTTCAAGTTCAAATCTTGAATTCGAAGTCAAAATGTTGAAGCTCATATCTTGAATTCGAACTGCTCGAAATGGGAGGTTCGACCTCGGATATTTGAGGTTCAGTGGAACCTGAAGATCTTCTCCCGACCTCTGATTTCCCCGCCGAATCCCGCGATGACCATAATGGCTTCATGATGATATTATACACCCAACTCGAACGTTTTACAAAAAGACTGCCATCAATGACGGTGACCCAAACTTACGTTAAGAAGGGGGAACATCAAAGCATTATAAGGAATTCATCTTTTTGAATCGACTTTGGACATCAAAGTATAAAGTTTTTAACGAGGTACAGTGTGTTGATGCTGGTTCGCGGACACTGCGTATAGAATGGGGAGCTTGAGGTTGATGATCTGAGCGCACATGAATAATACTGACACTATATAGGGATGTAGCTCTCTTACCTTGTATTGTACCTCTTTCATCTATCAGCCTGTGGAAGACGTTTTGTTTGCTATGTTTCCCAAGAGTGCTTGTCGATTTTTCCTCCGTAATCTTCAGACATGAAATGCATAGATGAGATTTGTTCCTGAATTGGGAAGCTTTGGTTAACATACCGGGGATCCATCGTAACCGCCACGTATGAGTCGACGTGGGGGTTACGGTTTGGGCTTCTGTTTTTCAGAAGTATATATACGTATTACGCTCGAATCACGCTGTGCAAATCTATCTCAAATGATCTCAGACTCTTGATATGATGGAACGTTACGCGCGTTCAAGCAAATCTTTTGTTGACTTGCATCTTCGAATGAGGGGCGGTGACACGGTGATAGACCTCTATTATTATTTTCCAAGAGGGCACCAATTATCGTTGGAGAGTGGACGTAGCCGCGTCAGAAGCACGTGTTACGCCCCTGCGTAACACGCAGTGTCAGATTTGACTAAACGCGCGTAGCGTTCCATTTTACGCTGGATTCACAGTATGTACTTTTGTTGATCCCATCGCATTCGTCGGGCTTGCTATGTAATCTACGTCTTCTTTCACAGTACATAGAAAATTGGCAATCCCTTCAGCATCAGACACCACAAACCGTCTTACAGCCCGGGTGGACTGATCTTCTGTCTTACGCTCGAATCACAAATTACAATACGTACACTGCCTTGCAAAATCTCGATTAATTTGACGGACTTATTCGGCACTATAGCGACTGAATCAAAAGCCACAACTCTTTGTGAATCCCAAGGGTACCCATTAAACGGTGCAAGCTATGATTAACATGCAAAATCCTATCGGAGGGGAGAGAGGATCTCACGAATTCTATCCAGATAAGGAGTGACGTAGGAGTCTCCCCTCTAGATTCAAAGTCTAGGTGTTTGTAACTTATAAGCCAATAACGGCACCAACCAACCCTTCTCTTTCATTTCAGGATCATTGCAAGACAAGATCATAGGTTCACTCTCATCATGTCAACTTCAGCACAACCTACCGTTTTCCTACCTGATTACATTCTCGAATGCGTTGTGGATAAATCCACTCCTAAGATTGATACCGAACTCTTCCTAAGTAGAGCCAGTTCGAACAACCTCCTAGAAATGATTGTAGCTTTCTATCCGCACTTTAAACTTACTCCAACTGCAAAGGCCGACCACGAGCTCCTTCGAAGTATATTCATTGAGATGGTAGCCCAACGTCTCTCTAATGTAATACTACCTTTACAAGATACTACAAACTATATCGAAGCCTCTTTATCGAACCCGAGAATGGGCCCCCAAGACTATTCCAGAACAATCACCTCCAGCGCTGATATCGACCAACGCCGCATTGAAATGTTCAATCAATATGGTCTTACCTACCTCAAGATCGGGCAATACCGTCTTGCAGCCGAAAATCTCAACAAATTCAATGAAACTTACAAATTCTTGAATATCGACGAGGTCAATGAGCTCTGGGGTGCTGAAAACGATGCCGAAGAGGCCCTTCACGATATTGGCTGCAACCTCAAAGAATGTCATCGGAAAATCGAGTCCGCCCAGCTTTTGTTACGTTCCCACCTCTCACCATCCGAGCGGAAAGACCTCGAGGAGAAGTTGCAATGCGCAATTCAGGACTTAAAATCCCATCAGAGAACCTTTACGAATGCCATTCAAAATACTGGCTTCATTTCAGCATTGGCCTCTCATCATCAGTAAGTATCTTGGCTTGTACGAAGATGTTGTGCGACTATCCTGACTTTCATGTTGTTTGATCAAACTTAGGGAGATCCTCGATCAACACAATTTAAAAAACGAACCGTCTTCATCGCCAATTAAACAAGAGCTTGATTGTTTCACTCCACCTCGAACAAATTGACTCAGGTATAACCGGTAGGTAGATAACCAGCTCCTACTCTCCTATTTTTCCGAGATCGAATCTGAGGACGTATCTGATGTTGTCCAATCGATCCTTCTTTGAGAAGCTGAAGTATCACAACCAGGAAGATAGGATGCTTGTAAATTTCAATCTGTGCTATCAAACCCGGGGCTTCTCTTAGTCCATCCAGCTAGCTGTTCTGTTACTCCTACTCTCCTATTTTTCCGAGATCGAATCTGAGGACGTATCTGATGTTGTCTAATCGATCCTTCTTTGAGAAGCTGAAGTATCACAACCAGGAAGATAGGATGCTTGTAAATTTCAATCTGTGCCATCAAACCCGGGGCTTCTCCTAGTCCATCCAGCTAGCTGTTCTGTTACTTTCGAAGAACAGGAGATGAGATTCAACCGCATGTTTGCGACACATGAGTTTTGATTTGTATAATTTTGGTTTCGCAATGTGATAGAGCTTGCATTGAAAATGATCTGCCTATTTGAGTTATGTACATGGATGTGCGATGACTGATGTAGCTCCAGTCCATGACTGCAATCGAGATGTGACATGTTCCAACATGATTGTAGGGCCTCTCACTGAGGCCGTACCTGCGCACTAGGTCCAGTACCGATACGCAAGGTGTTAGTGGACAGATTTTTATCATAATCAAGTTCGAGTAGACAAAAGCGTAAGCACGCTCCTTTTCTTGAGAGTAGGGTCAATACGCGCGGCCCCCTCCGCAGGCCTACGAAGTATCCGCTCATGGCAGCCCTTTGTTTGGCCCTTTCTCTCATAGAGTGTGAAGCAGCCTTTATTCTATGGCCCATTCGAACCCGAACCCGGGAGCCACAAAACACACACGCAAACAACTTGGTGATGAAGTTGGAATAGTCCTATTCACCATAAAAGTGTTGTCTTCCTTCTCTTCCCTTTCACTGAACCATCACCACCACGCCATGGACATGAAGAGTCATCTATATCCTCCTTCCGTTCCCTATAACAGACCCTTAGCGCCAAGACATGGACGTCATCAGCGAGACGTAGAGCATCCTGTACACGACGGCCGGGATGATGTTTACGATGACTCGCAGCATCGACTTCACAGCTACATTGAACGTTTACAAGAGGAGGGAAAAGAACGAGACTGTCACATCAATCGTTTGCTCCATGAGCTACACGAAAATCGAGAATGGATGTCCCAACAAATTGAGAACATCTCGAACGAGCAAGAACACGCGGCAAAACGCAATCAGAGAACACAGGAACACCTCACAATAGTGAAAAAGAACTGTGCCGAGCTAACCGAAAATCTGGAGCAAAATTGCCGCGACTTATGGGAAGAAAACACAAGGTTGGAGAAATCATTGGCTAGCACACAAGGTCAGTAGCTTACAAGAAATACCTTTGGCGAAGCTTACTTATCTTGCCCCCTATTTCTCTCTCCCCCAGAGATGCACCGTGTTAAACTCTAGGTGTGCGCTTGCGCGTATGTGTAATGACCACAGGTCTTACAGGTACAAGAAGCAGTTCGAAAGCAGTGTTGGTCTGCCGAAGAAGGGCTAAGGAAACTTTCTCAGGGAACCAAAGGTGTGATATGGGCCTCGCTTCCATGAAGCATGTAATGAAAGCTGACAAGATTCAAGATACCTTTTAGAATTCTATCAACACCGAATTCAGTTGGAAGAAGCCACTAACCTTCGGCTGCTGAATTTCAAAGCGGAAGTAAACGATGTGTTGCAAGCTGCAAGGGGTCAGCGTTTCATGACATTGATAACTGGGTACATAACTGATCTATGTCTAATCCAATGATGTGTTGTGCAGAGGCGCAGACACAGGTCTCCCTCCAATACGACGATGTTTTGCAGCAGCAGCAAAATACTGAAAAGATACTCGAAAATCTAACGTTAGATGTCGACTGTCAAGTGAAGAATACATTAGGTGATGGGGTCACTTCTTGTGATTTTGCATAGTCCGAACTCATGCCAATGACCTTTTTTAGACCGTCTCTTACACGAGCGTATGCAAAATGAAGAATTGAAGAAATCGGCTGGAGGTATGTTCTGCGTATCTCAGTCTAGATGAGACCTTGCAACAAAATACTGATGAAAGATGACTTGATTTGCAAGGAGGGTGCATTTACCCATCTTACAGGTCTGGTATATCAATCCGCTTGGTTTTGATAATGGCTTTTGTGGCCCTATCAATGTACTTATTGGAAGAGGATGACGGGCAGTTCAATCAACATAGTGTGCTTTAGTTTGTAAACGATGGGTTACGATTTCCAATGTATCATACGTTTCCTTGGGATTTCGACAAGTTCTATACGACGCGGTAAATCTTCAAGCGTGTCCGTGTGCATATTATTAGACGTAGAATAATATTTTGAAACTGTTGTCATGAAAATGAATTTGATTGCTTTGATGGTCAAGGCTTTGAAGCTTCAACATAGGCGAAAACGTATTGTTGACTAATCATGTACATTCTGAAAATGCCACAATACCGTAGACAATATAATGTGCACAACCCAGTTCTTCGTCTTCTTCGGCTAGCTCTTGACCAATGTTGAAAACTTCGACGTTTTTTCAGCTAGTTGCTTTCTTTGCTTCCCCAGTTCATCTCCTAATCAATGTAAAAGGTTTCAACTCGGGACTTCTGCGACATCTACCATTGTCTTTCCTAATTGTCTTTCCTAGACATCTGGGCCCATGATGTCAGCTTGAGAATTCGAACGGCAAGCTTGTACGATAATATAAATCGAACGTGGCTCATGTGTTGAGGCTCAAAAGCGCTCAATCATTTATCTTTCATTTCAATTAAGTGTTATTCTGCGTGTCCACCACGTACTACGTAGTACGTAGCATGCTAATTCACCGCGTAGCCTACTTATATTGCCAATACGCTACCGGATAATGTCCTTCGGCAATACCAAGAACCAGTAACTGATAGCATATATGTAGCATTGTGCCGATCTTTTAGGTACGTTCAAAAAGTTTTGTTGTTTGAGAGGTTCAAACATTGTGGAAAAGAAAGAGGCAGTTCAAATAGAGGAGATTCAAGATACAGAGGATGGAAATAATTCTTTGGAAGGTTACTATATATATATAAAGTAGCCCGCTCAATTGACAAATATAAGATAATCGTGATTTATTATGATATTATTATTACTGAATAACTCTCGAAAGCTCCATTCAATCTTCTTAAGCCAATGAAAATGCACAAATCACATAGAAAAAGCGAATAAAGATCAAGACCAAAACTCTTTCAGATACGGAGATCTTGTAGTGTTCGTTGACCAGTCGTCTTCGGAGAACGTGTTCGAGTCTGAAAGTATGGGAGCTCCGATCATCTAGAAGACCAGCCCCTCATGCTCATACACCCTTAAAACACCCTAGTCCTTGAGGGCCTGTCTGAAGGCTCGAACTTCCGATAACACTATCTTCGACATTGGTAGCACCCAGAAACGTATCAAAATTCCGGAACACACGACAAGCATTGTCCAAATTGCAGTCCCAGATAGTGTGTCACAAAAACCTTCTACCGCCGTCAACCCGTAACGATCCAAAAAATGTTGTTGTGTTGTTGCACATAGCTGATTTTTTACCGTATTTGGCAGCGGCGCTAGGTGCTGTACCCAGAGTTTGAGCGCCTTCGAATGCGAAGAAAGAAGTACGTGGAATATTTTCCGACAGGTGCTAATAAGCATGAAGTCCAACAGAAAGATCACACGAAGGGCGAACAGTAGCAAAAGTCTGTTCAGGTAAGACGTCTTCATACCAGCTTCTCATTAGGGGTTGTTCGCAATTGCATAGCAGTGGATAGATTTGGAGTCAGACTAAGCTCAGACTTCTCAATCTTTATAATGGTAAAGGAGTATTCTTACCTGGCATTCTGGTCGTCTTGTGTATAGGTAGAGGTATATATTTGAGATGGTATAGTGTATTCGGTTTCGATGTCTTAGTTTTCTGCGTATCTCGAGGCGCACGTGTACAGTGTCTTATATGTAGGCCTTTTCAGACCATATAGACAATCAGTTTGAATTAACGTGCTGCTTATTTCCATGCTCAAGTCCGAGATTGAATTCCTCACATAATCCTCGACACTCTTTTGCTGAAGCATCTCATCTTTGGAAATCCTTTGTAAGAAGCTCAGATGTGGGGAGTGTCAAGCCTTATGGCTCACAGTGGTCCGTTGGCTCATGCCCCTCAGCCTAAGAGCTTAATGTCCCTCAAGGACATTGTTGAGCTAATGAGCTGACAACCTCATTGAATCCCTCATTAATGAGCGCATGTCGTGGTACTAGTACTCAGACCGGAATTTTTGCCCGCCTTTGAATTAAAATTTCGACTAAGTACCTGTCCCTTCCTTTCTCAACTGACCGGCCTAAGCGGTCCCAGAGCTCCTTTGTTGGGCGTATGCCCCTGTACCTTTGTCCTCCAAAAGAAAACGCGTTTTGCTTTTTTGATTGAATTGTAACATGCGCTTATAGTACCAACGGAAATTGAAGATGGCCGAAGATGAGAAAACCTACCCAGAGCGAAGTTAAGAATAAAATGAGACGTCCGGAGATGAGGAAACCTGCTCCGAATGAGGGAAAAATGGGTATTAAGTATATGGCTGCTATATATATCAAAGGTCGCAGCTCGGTTAGCCAAACTGAGCTGTACCTCTCAAAACCCTCAAAATTCAGACTTTGAACCAGGTCTTCGAACTTGATCATTGAAGTTTGACAGCTCGACTAGTGTTTGAACCGCACTTCGAGGCTCGAAGTTCGATCTTTTTGAACTGGAAGCCCACATGTCGTGAAAATCTATTTTATGTACCAGGTAGTATGTACCCCCCTTCCTTCGAGGGGGATCATCCAAGTTTAACATTGTTACCAGTGTTCGAACCGCACTTCAAAGCTCGAAGTTCGATCTTTTTGAACTGGAAGCCCACATGTCGTGAAGATCTGTTCTACGGTCTACCCCCATCGCTCTGCGTCAACGAACCTATACGCACCTTCGAAGAGCGCCATGGCTTTTTGAGGAAAAGCCTTCCCCATCAGAAGGCTGTAGAACAGGAAAGGAACGCTCATCAGATGATAGTAATCCCGCCAAAGGATCTTCATCAGATTAATTCAGGTCTTTTACGTTCTTTTATTTACTGGTACAAAGTTGGCAAAGGGCGCATAATGGAGGCATGATTGTTGTAAACATGTACCATTATCAAAAGGACACGAACTTTTCCCACTGGAACTTATCTCAATTTTATATTCAGAGAGAACTAAGAATAAAAACAAATAAACGCATCACAACTTATCTCAAAGAAAAGTAAACAAAACAAACACCTCACAAATACTAAGTTCTTCTTTGAAAGTTTGAAAGGGATAAAGGGGGATGAATATAATGTATTAGCCGTCTAAAGGTGTCACCGCTGTACCCAAACTTTCCCTGGATACTTTCAACTGCGTCCGTATCTCCTGACGAATAGCTTTGAAAGAGTCAAAGCCTTTCCCTTGTGGTATCAGACGAGCTATCTCCGCGGTTTTGTTTTCTATAAATTTCTCCAAAAGCTTCGCTTGCTTCCTAACTTCCCTCGCTATAATCTTGCCATCAAACATGTCTGGCTTCGGTATCGGCTCCACGTCTCGCCATTCCACGGAGCTGGCATCCGATTCGCTACAATCGTCCTGAGTGGTTCCTTTACAGTTCAACTGCTTATCTTTGGCTGGTAAAAAGACAGAATCCACCGATAAAACTTCCTCTGACTTTCTTCTAACATTCGTATCTTCCTTGTTAGGTCCTTCTTCGTCTTTGTCCACATTTCCACCTTGCCCGCTTCCTTCGGCCGGTAACTCATTTCCATGGAGAGGTCGAATTTGTTCATTGCGTCTCTCGTGTTCCAAGAGGGAATTGGCTTGAACCAAAGAATTTTGTGAAGTTCGAGATGAAGGATTTGGATGAGCCAAAGTTCGAGGCGAAAGCCGGTTCGTTACAGGAGGAGCAGCAGGTAAGTCATTTCCATTGAGAGGTCGAGGTCGAATTTGTCCATTGCGTCTCTCGTGTTCCAAGAGGGAATTAGCTTGAAGATTTCGTGAAGTTCGAGACGAAGGAATTGGATGAGCCAAACTTCGAGGCGAAACCGGGTTCGTTACAGGAGGAGCAGCTCGAGAAGTCGTAGGGATCGACGGAGGAGGCGGAGTTGTATGTGAAAGACCACTTCGAGTCGATTCCGGCAAAAAAAGAGGAGGTAGAGAGGACGAGTCTCGAAGGGAGCGGGTAGGATGAGCTGTGGGGTCTTCTATAGCAGAGCTAATCCGTGAACGCCGTGGAGCAAACTTCGAAGTTCGAGACTTCGGAGGAGAGGCGGGGGAGGAGGATTGGGAGGATTGGTCATCCTGGACCCTTGGGGCTCGAAGCTTGATTTTGATCTTTCTTTTGGGCGGTTGATCTTCTTCAGAGGAGCTGATCAGCGTGGCTATAGCTCTCTTGGTCGATTCCATGGTCGGTGCATCCAACAAAGAATCCTGTAGCTTTTGTTGCCAGAGCTTCACCTGTTCCACGAATCTGTCAGACTTTATGTCATCTTGCACAATCCTTGACACGGCTTCTCGAGTCAATGGTCTCTCTGCACCAAAGTCTTTTGGTGAACTCGGAACGAGAGGCTCCCCGTCTAAAACCAGACCGTCATCATCTCTTCAGCTTCCGTTTCCAATAAGTAGCACGGAAACTGATGAAGAGATAAAGGGACATTACCTTTTGTGCTCGTCACCCATTCGCGAACCACGACTATCTCTTCCGGTGCCAATGCGGAGATTGCACCTGGCGCGCAAGTTGATGATGCCTCGGTTGAATGTGAGAAGTCCGAATCATGATGTAGAACACCGTCGCGGTCCAACCATTGGTATTCGGTGGATGTAACTAGATCGACGTCGCATTTGATTTTTGAGGCCCTGCACCATTCGCACTTGACCGATTTCTTGCCACTGGTTACACAGACGCGACCAGTCTTCTGGCACCTCGAACATGGACGCTCAAACACATGTACCTTTGAGTACCCGCCCATCCTAATCAGAGCCTCATCCAACTCAGTCTCGCACCGGGCCGATTTAGGTGACTGAGGTTGAATGTCCAGGACAGTTCCTGGTTCGAGTGGTAGAATTTCGGGTTGGGGTGAGGCCATGGCTGGAAGAGAGCAACGTAGGATGAGTCAGAAAAAAATCGAAAGAAACAGATTTGAATGATTCGAAGGAACTAAACTCGAAAGATTCGGAGGAACTAAACTCGAAAGATTCGGAGGAACTAAACTCGAAAGATCTGAAAGAACTGGATTCTGCGGAGTCGAAGGGACTAATTTGAACTTGAAAGACTTGAACGAGCTAGATTTTGAAGTTTTGAAGGAAGTAATTTGAACTTGAAAGAGTTGGAAGGTCTAGATTTTGAAATTTCGAGGGAACTAAACTTGAAAAATCTGAAAGAGTTAGATTTTGAAGTTTCGGAGGGATCAATCTGAAAGAACTAGATTCGAAACGACTAGATTTGAAAGATTTGAGAACTTTGGAAGCACTGAGAGGAGCGGGTGAAAGTTGAAAGGTAGACTACAAGAGAGCAAAGGGGCAGAGGAAGGACCGGATCTTATATGTAGAGGATATACCACCTCATCAAACAAGCTCTATGCTACGTGAGGCTGACGAAAACAATCGCATAAATTCAAGATTATGAATTGCTTGCTTTGATCATCTCGGAGTCTTTAGAAACATGAGATGGCTGAGGAACTTTGCAGAGCTTCCCTATTTGCGAACAGAGTAGTGTTTTACCAGCGTTTGGCACTGCATTCACAAAGGAGCGTACAGAAAAGCTTGTTTATGAATGTTGAGCTTCACGCCCGAATGGTGATTTTGATTCGATAGAAAAATCTTACAAAATCATGTAAACTCAGGTGATAAGCTAGACTTTCACAATGAGTATCATCCTATGTACTCATTCTGACTGGTCTCAATGATTGTCACGACCTCTTTGTGCGCATAACCAGTATTCAGCGATATTCCCGCCTTGAGCGATATTGCTATGAGACAGAATTCGCTCGTAGCATTTGGAGCTCTGAAGTGGCCACCAACTGTGATTATGCTAAGACACTCCTATAGTGAAGATGGGAGGGACGGTGGGAAAATAAAATCATCTGATCTTCAAGATACTAAAATGACTTTAGATAGAAGTTTTGAGAGAAAACCCCGTTGCAAACGAGGATGGATGATACTCATGATCCAATATAATAATATCAGAGGAGGGCAAGATGAATCATACAGCTCCAATAAATCATACCGAGGTAAAGTGCAAGCGCGTAGGCTGCACTTCACCTTACGCCCGAATATGATTTTTCATCCATCATAAGTAGATACTACGAAAAAACGTGAGGGATAGCTTCACGATACGTATCATCCTATATAGGTATCGTACTCGACTGATCAGATCTCATTGAATGTGATGACCGTGTGAAGTCTACCTCTTTCAACAGGCCTTTTAGTTTTGTATATCCTCGCTGCACTTTTGCCGACAGTTTGAGAAGCGCACGATGTAATGCGTAAACTGTTACAAACAGTTCCCCGTTGTTTTGTCATTGCCTTCTTCGAACTGATACTCAGTCAACCCAAAGTGTTGAAGTCTTGTACGGACTTGCGTAGTTGTATGTACGATGACTTCGACGCGCCTCGGGAGGCCACGATCATGCTTGACTGGAAGATAGAAAAGCATCGAGAAGAATCATCTAAAGATCAGGCACTTGGTCTAGAATAATCAAGACGTGTTCAGATCTCAAGACATTGTCTATTGCTCAGAAGATAGATATGTGTATACCTCAAAACGTCTGAAGGGATGCAACAATGGACGGCAAGTTACATTTACATATTACACATGTTGATGGCCTTATTCTACCTCAGAGGATGTTTGTTCTTGAATGACAATGGATGAGGAGCTCAATCAGTCACTCAAGGCGCAACTCAACTTGAGTGATTGATAGCAATAGACATAGCTGATTGGTATGGACTACTACGATATTAAAAGGGTCCTTTAGATTTGCGCAGGAATAAGCCATCGGGTGCCCAGCCTATATGCGTTGAAGGGCTGAGCACCTAAGTCACAAAGGTGATCTAGACATGAGGAAGCTCATTCTAGCCTCATATGTAGCGTCCAGACAAGATTCAATAACTCTTCTCATAAATACCAGCATGATCTGTGCATAGCAGCAACGCACCCCATATCACGTCTTCTCAATTCAAATACATAGCCATTTGATCCGAAAATCAACCACTCAATCAAAAAGATATGTCCAACCAACGTAGATGTACTCATCAATTCACATGCGCTGGCTGCGTCAAACACAGTAAATGTCAGCAAGGGGGATCGACGACATTGGCAGGGGTCAGACGACCCAGGACCGATCGCACAAAGAGTACGTGTTGTCTTCGGTTCATCAGGTTGAACTCGCTTACTCAACTAGATATTATGAACTCAGGGATTCTATGGCGGCGGTTGTTTCTCTCACTAGCAAGCTATCTCAACCTCGTGATGATAGTGTGTATATGGATTTCAGCTCGATATCCAACCGGAAGCTTTGCGGTATTTTTCAGAAACTGGGCTCCCGATGTTCTACACACTGCATGGGGAAATGCGTGTTTTGCGTGTCGAGGAAGTCTGAAAACCTGCCTCAAAATCTCTGAACCGGATTCCTTTTGCCTCGAGATCTTGCATGGGTTTTTGATGGTAGTCTTTGTTGTCCTCGGATGAACTTCTTTGAATGGGATGCGCGCGGGAGGGTGGATGGCAAGATTGGAAAATACTATTTTATCACATTCCATTTATTTCACATCTCATTCGAATTTCTCACATACTTATAACATGAATATCTAGAGATAGACGCGAGGTTTTTTTTAAGTACATTCTCCATGAATAGCGATTTTTAAAAATTTGCATCGTCTGTGAAAGACTTGGATTCCGAGTCTAAATCAAATGATGGTGAGATGCACATGAGTAAATAGAATTTGCACTTCGAACTTCGAACTTCGAACTTCGAACTTAACTTCAAACTTCGAAGTTTGAAGTTCGAACTAAGCTCGAACTGTTCAATATTAATGACCAAAATTGAGATCAGGTGAAGATTCACTGCATGCAAAAGAGCTTCAGTTTTGAAGTTTAAACTTCAAGCTGTGGGTGAGATTTGAGAGTTTTGACGTTTGAATTTGGCAAACTTCCGAGATCGATGATGAAGAGGTGTCTCGCACTTTGATCGGTGTGTGTTCTCGTAAATTCTCCCGACCTTCGAGCCATATCACGAGTAGCGAGAAAGATTTCAAGCTCATTTAGATCATGCAAGATACAATTTTATTGAGAACATGCAAGAAACAATTTTATTGAGATCATGCAAGAAACAACTTTACGTACCATGATTCAAGCATAAGGTTCGACTTTACGCGCGCGCAAGCAATCGCATTTGACGTGGCTTCCTACAAACAAATGCTTGAACTCACACATTGACACAGCAATATATTATCAATTTCCAAAAACGTACCTAGGTGTCACCTTGACAAGGTACTTTTGAGCTCTCTCAAATCACTCGAGTCATCATCGTCCACTTTCAAAGACAAGGCCTTGTCCTACAAAGCCTATCCATTTGATCGCATTTTATAATCAACCATGTCTTCTGCCTCGTCCAACAACCCTCACAACACGAGTTTTCCTATAATCCGTCCTGATAATGCTTCTCGAAATTACACATCCTCCGATTTTGATCTCGTCTCTGTGCGTCTTCGGGCCCTTATTTTGGATCATCGCCTTCGCAAATTCTTAGCAGTTTGTCATGAGGATTCCCCAATCCCAACCGCTACCAAAGACGACCTGTTGAAGTTGCTAGCGTCTTTCCATCCGGGACTCCGTCTGGATACGAGAATCTCGGAAGAAACTCTGTCACAACTGTTCACACTCATTGTTCGGCCATTTTTCCTCAACATGGATTATTTCGACGAAGAGACAAATGTAATGCTCTATTGGGATGTTCCTCTTTAATTCCCTGTAATCACCCAGGTAAAAAGGTAAACTTTTGTAATCTTAACTCTTCATCGATATGGAAGGTCTTTATATCGTCTGTTGCTGATTCTGCCAAAGTGGGCATTCTTTGATTTGTAGTATGTAACTCCTGCGATTCGGGTTTTCAATGACGCCAAACTAGATGATCGGATAGAATTTCGCAAGATGGATAACTCCTAGAAAGAAGTTAGAAGGAAGATAGCAAAGTCAATCGACAAAGGGATTCACGACGGACTCCCTCGTAGTTTTTTGCTTTGATTTCACAAAACTTGTTCCAACTTGTCAGGATGATGTCAAGTTTGTAGATTTGGGAATTTTTTCTGACAGCTATGCAAATTCACTGCCATCACATCTCATGTTTTCGTAAAAAGAAAGTGAAAAAATCCACGTAAAGTTGTTAGGTGCCCTCTGATCTCGAAGTCCAGTTTTACGCGCAATGAGTCATGTTATAAGGAATTGATTTCATCAACACATAGCAAAAAGTACGAAGATTTTAGAACTGAGGGTAATTAGAGTATGAATATGTACAAAGGCAGCGTATCTCTAACCAAGACTTTCCCGGTTGTGGAGATGACCATCATGAGAGGGTCAGAAAAGAATTCCCCAAAATGTCTTCCTTCATTTCGAGACTTTCCAAATCTTTCCTGTCGAGCGAGCGCAGCCACACGTCACTGTAGCAATCTTTAGGCAAGCCTGCGGGCCATCGTAACTTGCCTCCCTCTGGTCGGTAGTTTGAGAGAACACGCTTCGCGGGTTTCCGTCCAGATCGCTTCGGGAACTCGCCTTGCCTCATCTTATGATATTCTTGATCGATATTTTCCACAAGGGATGTAGCCAGAGAGCTACGCCAGACAGGGGTGTGTCTCACTCGGTCTTCGTTCATCACTTCTTCATCAGACTCGTCTGATGAGCACAGTCGTTCATCTTCAAAAAGGTCACCGAATCTTGCAAAAGGCGAACTGCCTTCAAGTTCGCACATCTCTTTTCTACGTTTCGCAAGCTATAAGGTTGCATAGAAAAAGTTAGACTTGAACGTATTGTGGCAGATCCAAAAGCCATGAACATACTCGTAATTGTCTTTGTTGTTGACGGTCTCGTTTTTGGTCCCTCTGAAGGATGGCTTCATTAATGTTATATCTTCTCATATGCTTCAGGCGGTAATCAATATGTGCCTGCATTAGTTTCATGATACGCTGTGGGTGATGGTCCACGACATGATACTCTTGACATGCGTATGCTCTGTTGAATGTATCCGTGCAGAATGCAAGAACCCGTCGATTCCAGTCCTCTGCTTTGGCATCTCCTCAAGCCGTGCTCAAACCAACGTAAGGAATGCCGTATTGCTGAAGTCTACGTCGACAGTATTGTAACATACCCGATGCTGTATGTTCCATATCTTCAGGTTTCCAAGTTGGTTGGAGTTGGTCATGTCTGATGAGGTTGGGAACAGCCTCTCCAAGTGGTGCGGTCTCGTAATCCACGGTGAGCTGTGGCATGTTTTCGAGGTCTGAGAGAGTTGGGGACTTTGGGAAGTCTGCTTTAGAACGACCCACCCCTGCCATCAGTCGGAAATGTTTCTGTACCTGATTTGCCTGGGCCCAAAATCACTGTCAGGTTTACATGGGACATATCAGTATCTATTTATTTCGGGACTGACCGTTTGTTCATCAGCCTCTTTGACCTGCGGTGTCATCGACATCCTTTCTTGCCGAAGACTTGGACACTTTGGGTTTTTAGGTGTTTCATTAGATTTCCTCCACTTTCGCTTTCTCGAGACAGGTGTGGCCGAGCGACTTCCTGCGGGCAACTGCCCATTTGAGTGGATTTGTGAAGTTGATTGATGTGGTCCCGGCGTCGATCCTTGCCTTTGCGAACTGCCTTCGACAGAGGTTGTACGTTGGAACAACGGGGTGTTGTTAGAAGAACCCGGCATGGTGTTCTGGGATTTACAAAGTAGAGCTCTCAACATAGAATCTTGATTTGATGTAACACAATAGGAAATCCAAAGCTACTTACACCGGAATTAGTTCCACCTTCGTCTCCCACCGCTTCCTGGCAGTGTCCTTGATGGCCAGGTATTTGCGACGTCGATGCATGTGATGATCCAGACTGGAAGTTGTTCGTAGCATCACAAAACCCATCCGCATCATCTTGCTGGAGTGGATCTTGAATCCGATTGGTGGTTTCAAGAGATCTCTGAGAAGCTTCTGTACGTGGGTCAGGGAAAGACAATCCGGAAGAGATTTTTTGTATAGCTTCAGCTTGGTCAGAGATCTTCCTTCGATTCTCCGCGTCACGGGTTTGCAGGTCCAAGAGTTGACGGCGCAATTCTTCAGAAACCTGTCAGAGGCCTCACAACTTCAGGTAGGGCTCAAGTGTACAAGAAAATAGATAAAGAGTAATATGCAACACGTACATCAGAATGTTGCTCTTGTACTGTTTGTCTTTCGATGGTGCTGACTACCTGTCTTTCGACTGCATCATTTATTGTTTTCCTGAAGGCGGAAAATCTGTTGTTGAATTCAATCTCAAGATCCAGCTGAGGTAATTCACCCTGCAAGGTTTCCCTTTGCTGAGCTAAAAGTTCTGCTGCCTTTCGAATGTAAAGTTTTTTTTGCGTCAATGAAAGATCAGTTCAGAGAAAAGGTGAAATTATGTACTCACATTGGCGGAAGTCCTTTCTTCTACCATTGTCTCAATCAATTTTAGTATCTCCTGTTGAAACCTCGCAAACTTTTCAGAATCCCTGGCGTCACGCTGGGCTTCAGCTTCCTCCGAGAACATTGACAATTCGACAGCAGAGACTCTGCGTTCGAGCTGATCTTCAGGCTTCGAAAGGGATTGAGCACAACTAATTAGGGGTGCTAGCTCACAAAGGTCTGGTAGATTTGGGTCAGAAAATATAACAAGTGGAGCCGCACCTTATCAATCTGCATCTCATCGCTTGCGGTCGTGGTCAGTGACATCTGTGGCATCTCTTCCAAGAGTTCGACCTTTTCGGAAAATTGTTTGATAGTATTCTCCTGCTTATGTACAAGACTTTCAAGTCCCTGCACGATCGTTTTCAGTCCTTGAATTTCCGACGCCAGCGGGGCCACTTCATCATCCATCATAGTTACGTCGTGCGATGCATTTTGGGTCATTAGTTCTTGATATAGAGTTGAAATCTCCTTGCGGACAAGGTCGGCCATATGTTTGCGATCTTCACCTCTCGCGCCCTCCACAAATTGTTGCTGAGCTTTCAATACACTTTCGACTTGGTCGAAGATGTTTTTTATGATGTTTTTTTCCTTCGCAAGCAATTTCTAGAACGAGAGAAAATTTCAGATAAGAAATATTGTTTCGGAAATGTTGACAAGATAAGGGGGAAAAGGGTACATATATATATAGGAGTACTCGTACCTCTTTGAATGTCTTCGCAGGCGAATCTGTGCTTGCCTCTGTGGTGCAAAGCTCTTTGGATTGACTCGTTGTGACCAATCCCAAAAGGTGGGACTCAACTTCTTCTTCCTCCATACGATCAATCTTGTCATCAAGCTCGTGTAGTCTTCCTTCTATGCCCTCGATCGTGGACAAAAGAGTTGGAATTCGATGGATGTCCTGTTTGTCACGAGCCATTTTCTACTTATGTGGAAGGGACAATGTCAAAGAGATTGGTCAGAAATCCCGATACCATCAATACCAATACAAAAACTGAATTCAAGAATGAACCTCTTTTATCACTTGAATCCCCTCTTTACACTTCTCAAGATCGTTGTACCACGCAGGGGCGATGTCAACGCTACCGCTTTGCGCCTGTTGAGACCTTCTCTTAAGTCATCTTGATGTATAATACCCATATATAGAAGTAAGACTGACCATAATGCCGGAAGGCTTTGTCAGTTTTTTTCTTATATGTTCCATCTGGGTGAGTATCATCCCCATCATGATCTGAGAATGAGCAGAATGTCAGCGAAGAACATAAGCCCGATACTTTTCCCCCACTTACCTCATTGTCGAGGACTTTTTGTCCCAAGGCCACGAGATGTGCGTTTTGATCCATGGCAGATTGAAGTGGTTGTCCTACGAGTGATCTTTGGAATGAAGTGTTATTTTGAGTTCCAATACTAGGTGTAGCTTATGAATTTGAAGTGTTGCAAGGATTACGATTCTATGTTAATGGGTGATAGCAGTGTCTGGCGATGCATATACTCTTTATATGGAGCAAGATCCCGTTCGAATTTTGGTTACCCTGTGACTGGTGTTTCTAGCTCGCACAGGCATACGCAGCTCTGTTTCCTGAGTCGTAGAGAATGTCTTGAAATTTGAACATGTATTGATCATCCTAAACCAAGTGCCATCCGCCTGTGTTCTCGTCAGAATTGGCCAAGCTGATCTTTAGATGAGTTTGGTGATGCTTTTCTTTTCAGTTAAGCATGACCTTGACCTCTTGAAGCACCTCGAAGTCATTGTGTGACTGCGCCAGTCTGTGCGAGACTTCAACGCTTTGTTTTTACCGAGCCTCAGTTCGAAGTAGGCATTCAAGAAACAATGGGATATGTTTTGAGAAGTTTTACGTATAACCTTTACGCGGTGTAAATTGCCGGTAGAAGTACGTAATCATGGGATGACTCGAGATATACGTGACATACCCACATTTTATCACGCGTCGGAGCCCAAGCTGATCTCAAGATGAGTCTTGGTCAGTCTTTTCGATGTTCAACTTCCGGTTAAGCATGAATGATCGTTGCCTCTCGAAGCACGCCAAAGTCATTGTGCCACTACGCAAGTCCCTGCGTGACCTCAGGTCTCTGTTTTTACTGAGGGTGAGTTCGAAGCAGGAGTTCAAGAAACCTACGTTTTGAGAGGAGTTACATACATATAACCGATTTACGAGGCTTAAATTCCCAGTCAAAGTGCGTAATCATCACCACTCAAAGTAACAGTGACGCACCCAGGGTTCATCACGCGTCAAGTGAAGCTAGCCCATCTTCCGAAGCGTTCACGCAGGGCCATATGTAGGGCCACGTCCGCTCTCGGTTTGATGCTACGCCACAAATTAGGCTAGTCGACCAATTTGTGGGTTGTGCGAAGATGACAAAACGTTTTTTATCGCATAGCGCTTATGCACAAGACACATTCACATGGTCATAATAAGCTCTGATCGGAGATTTATGATAGACAGAAGTACTTTCCAGCTCAAGTGGATTGAAGACCTAATAGATCAACCGAGCCACTCAAAATGACTAAAAATATCTTGCAAAGAAAATGTATTCCACTCAAGTTCAACCAAAGGCCTAATCACCTTGAACAAAGATGTTCAAAGGAAATAATGAGATCCTGGAGAATATCACTCATGTGTCCAACAGTGAGGTTGCGGTTCCCAAAATAACGCAATGTAATGTATCAGAAACAAATCATGAAACAAATGGTAGGGGAAAGTTTGAGACGTTTGTAAACTTATCTAAGTCCCAGACGTTTGAGAGGTCAGGATTTGAGGTTGATTTCAGCCACGTGATACTTGAGGAACCTGAAAAATTTCTTTTTCCCTCTGCTAGCTTGAGTTAGATAGGTTGTGGTGATGGCTGGAACATACATCAAGTGGAATCGATTCTGTGGAAATTCAGCCATCCATCGTATGCGGTGGATGGCTGACACTTGATCCAGCTTACCAGGGCTCATCATTGGGACCTGTTCATACTCGAAGCATCTAGCCGTTCTGAAAAGGGCCAATTCGTCACCAAAAGTATGAAGCTGCCCTGACTGACCAATCCACTGGTACCTTCCCATTGATTTTATTTGTTTCGTCTCTAATTCACAGTTCTTCTTTCATCTGCCTGTTTTCTGCTCATATCTTCTCCTTCTTATCATTAGGAGATCTCCTGGTTCCTGCTGCACCCTCATCTTTAGAAATAAATCGAGCTCTTCTGGCCTACAGACTTTCTCTTCTAAATCAGGTCTCTTTACTCGCTCGCCTCTCGCCCTAACATCATTTCAGTATCACATCTACAAACCTCTGCAAGCATTCTGTTTCGAAGCCCATTCGTCTCCAAACACTCGCAGAGCATTCTGGGATCAATTGCTCCTTTGTCTTTGTTTTATTCTGAACCCTGCTCATCCTCGCTGCTTCGAACCTTGAGCTCATCTCGACGCATAACCCAGAAGCTAGAGGTTGAGCAGGTGTTTCAGAATTAAGATGATGGATGAAGGGACGAAAAAACCTAAATATAAGTCTCCGAGTACGATTCGATCTCGAAAAAACCGCTCTGCCAAGAAGAATCTTGAACAAAAAGACCGACTCCCACCCAACAACCGTAGCGCAAAGATAGCCGAACTTACTGAGCTCTATGGACTGCCGCCCAAAACCAAATTCCTGTTCTTCAAGAAAGGACAAAAAAAACCTATGTTTCGTATCTACTTTGGAACCGTCGTATGCCTCGATGCCGACACCTGTCAGCTACTCTTAGTTGCGCGATTTGTCGAGCGCACTTCGGAAAATCGGGGTCTCTTCGAAAATTACAACCACGCGATCCCCACTGTCTACCAACACGCCAGAGCACGTGGACTCGTCAAGCTAAATGGAGCTACGAAGAAGGCTCGGGCAAATCGACGAAAGTATGGCAAGATGTGGGCTGCTGGATTCAGGCCTGGCTGCGATGCGGTTGTAAAAGCAGGTATGCATTTATATTTTGTCTAACGAACGCGATCAGAGCTTGAGATTGATGTGAAATCATTACAGGCACATACACTTTTAACCCAACCACAAGCGCGAGTCTTTGGCGAATGCAGGAAGATCTTGCTCGACAAGGAAATCTGCCGGCCATCGAGGATTTCTTCGCAGAACACTTTTCTGGACTATCTTCATACACCTTCAAATCTAACGCCGAACTCGCGTCAAGCGCTGGGGTTCCTTCGTGGGCAGGGCACTCATTCTACGTGTCATCTAACGCACAGGTGTTTGCATCGAACATAGTGGTCACTTGTGACGAGTTTGTCAATCAGAAACACACGGACTTCGATGCTACACAGTATGCCTTCGGATTTTTCGCACGCATCAATCGTAAAACTGGAAGATTATACTCCCGTCAAAATGATGTGAATAAAGGCGATTCTGTTGGTGCTCGCTTTATTCTGGACGACTACAGAATCATGGTCGACTATGACGCATGTGATGGAGTGGTTGAGATGCTCTGGAGTAGCAAAATTCACCATCATACTACTTCATCTGCGACGTACAACGCCAAAAATGTCAAGGTCGTCCCCTCAAGAGGAAATATCACTCGGTTTGGTTGTGCATGCCAGGTCTCTCAACGTCTGGTGGATAGGATTACTCAGGTCAATGACATGCGCGGTAACATGACTGATGAGAAGTGGTTCAAGTTTCGCGCTACTCTTATGACTGGGTACCCAGAGGAAGCACGTAAGAAAATGGCTCGGCTCGCTGAAAAACATGGCATTGATGACTTTAGTTTGGCACTCTCTTCGTGAAATTATTGTTATCTCTTTGATCTAACTCTTATTGAGATTATAATTCTAGATCATTTCATTTCTCTTTTAAGCTCATGACAACACTTTTCATTTCTCTTATGACTCGTATTATTTTGTTTCCTACATCAATTCATTTTCATGTACCATGGTCGGCCAAACACATGTATGACACTGGATGTATCATCCTACGTTGTAGTTTTCTTTCTCATTCAACCTTACTTATTGTCTTTCGTACCAACTAGAGGTACCGCTTCTTTTCGTCACGCTCATGTTCTCTCTTGCCTTACTGAGAACTCTTTGCGTTCTTCTAAAGCTAGTACTTCTATACCTCTACCTTACTTTTTTTGTCAATGTCACATGTAGAGGTCAATATGCTCTCACCAACCGAAACAATGACCTTTTTTTTATTCACATTCTCATCATCAGGTGTATTTATACAGTGCTTAACAATTGCGTCTATGGGTCTTTTTCGAGGTGCTCTACTATAAGAGTATGCAGGGATAAAGTGCGCTTGTTTTCACCACCAAAGGAGAAAAACAATGTTCTATAAGGTGGATAACATCTTAGAAAACTAACAAGTTTGATTGCAGAAAAATTTGCTCAAATTGATGATTAGTGTGGTTGGCTGCTTGATCCCAAAACATCCTTCAGGAGTGTCCCAAGCCACTCCTTGAGCAACAAGCTCATCAACTCGCACCAGATCCTTTTTTTTTGAAGATTGGTACACAACCGTCATTCTGGCGTTTGGCCAATTGTCAAGTCCATGCTTGGCTTTCTCGGCGGTTCGAAGCTCAGAGAATTGGAGCACTTCGAACCACAGTTGGGCCTTTGGATTGTTTTGCGGCCCAGGTTTGGTGATGAAGATCTCGTTGATTCGTCCCCATCGATATGTCGTTGTTCGGCGCGTATCTTCGGACTGATACATGACAATGCTGTTTCCCTGATGATGATCCCAGGTTGAGTAGGATATGTCACCGTGTTTCACCATTTTTTTTTGGTTCACCATCCGTCCCAGCAATATATGATGGGAGGGAGGGGGTGCTTTGTAATTTCGGCTAGCCACAACAACATGTCCACCTCCTAAGTCTTTCATACGCCGGGCCAGATTCTCGTGGGTGTCGTAGTCCAAGCTCTCTGCCTTTTTTTCGTCATAGTGGTAAGTGGGTTATGCATCCGTGGCAATATGTGCATCGCAGCCAGAAGTACTACCTCGTGGCCCACCACTGGGCTCCAAAAACTTCAAAAGTCTCGTCGCGACGGCCTTTGGAAGAGCTTCACACAGGATTCTCAAGACAGGTCGTAAGTTCTGCGCGATGGTCCATATCCTGAGTCTTGTTAGTTCGCGTGAGTCTACCATGCATTTGTGAGTTCAGTTTTAATATTCTCAGTCGACCAATAACTCATAAACTCACTGGGATGGTTGTTATTAGGGATCTTAGCCAGTACTCCATTCAGTCTCTCAAATGACCATGCAGTCCATAAAGGGGCAGGCCCAAACCGTTGGATACACTCGGGAAGATGGAGCGCCATGTGATGATTGGGCACCACAGAAAGTGACGTGTAAATTTTAGAGTATCCGTTTCGATAGCTTCGAAGGTGAAATCGGAGGGATCTGACGTCTTTATCAGTGACTTCCAATCTCCGAATGATGTCACAACACTGATAAGATGAAGGACATTGCGGACGAAATCTCGGTCTGTAAAATTCGTAGCACCGTCTTCTTCGTTCAAGACAGAAATTATAGCAGGAATGATCATGACCTGGAAAAGAACTACCCATTCGTCTGCCTTCAATTTACCACCCTTCCGCATTCCTACCGTACTAGGTACGCGTCCAATCCAAGAAGGAAGGCTTATGTTCTTTGTGATATCTTGCAACGTTGCCAGATTTTGATTCTTGTTGAAGAATTCGAAACCAGGCTCATCTCCACAAGCCTCTTCATAGTCAGAAAAGTCTTCGTCCAATGTGTCGTCGTCTGAAAAGCCATCTGCATGCTGTTCCCTTGTTTGATCATGATTGGGGGATGTCTCGGGAAAGGTTTCGCTCTCTAAATCCAATTTTTGGAGTGCAAACATCAATATGTCATCATCATCTGCTGATATAAGTCCTGCAGCTGGGAGTGAAGACGTGAGTGAGGAATCTTCTGATCCTGCGTCTTCTGACCCATCCATCACACAAACATCATGGGCTACCGTCTCGGTATCTGAGCCTTCGGCATCGCCAGCGTCCACGATTTTCTCGTCGTCGGGAGATTGTGAGACAGACTTCATTCCGAACGCCTTTGTACCATGATTTTTGAGCATACCAAGAAATACGTTGTGCATTGGTTCGACAATGGTGTGTCTGAGAGGATCGAAATAAGGTAGCTCCCATAACACAGAGTATCGTACGCCGTGTTCGGCAAATATTTCATCCCGTTTTTTGACCGTTTTTGCATCTCTCCACGCCACAGATTGTTCCCGAAGAGTATGCGTACATCTTCTTAGTTCTCTCGGAATTCGTAGAAGATGTATGTCATCTTTTCCAACCAGACACAGTGAGCACATATGTTCATTTGAAGAATGGCCTGCCATTCCCAAAACTTTTCGTATCGCAGGGAGATCACAGATGATGGGACCTAGCATAACGCGGATGATTCTTCCATTCGTAGGGTATTTGGCTGTAGAAGAAAACTTGACGCCATTCCAAAGGACCAGAAGTTCTTGAACCAGAGGTGCCAGCACGTGGTTTATTTGGTCCACGTTAGGCTCTGAAGGTCCCGGTGTCAGCCCAACCAGAAAAATATTCTCCGGAGATGTTCGAATCTGCGGCGGCAAGTTTAAACAAACCAAAGTGATAGTACCCAGCGAAATTTGTTTCGAAGCAGCCTTATTCCCATTAGCATTAAACCAATCTACGTTCAGAGCAAACACCAGATTTCCGGGGAGGGTGGTAAATTTCTTTCCATCTGTTCCACGAAGCGAGTGCCACATCGAAGCGTGCCGCACGTCTTTCATTATTGAGCAATCATTTTCAAATTGTTCTTCGTTCCATTCCAGCGATTCCTCTATTCCAGGGCGATTTAAAAACCGAGCTAACCAGTCAGTAAAGGATACGGTTGAAAATAACCGGCATGGTTTTGTGGTTGTCTCGTCTAGATCCTCGGCATCATGTAAGAGGGGTTCTAAACATTCACGGCTCCGGGGAGTAAGTCGAGACGTGCAAAGCTGGGGTATATCATTATTATAGTATAGCTTGAAGCATTTGGGACAGCACACTGTTCGGCGGATCTTGGGCTCAATTCGTAGTCCATCCAGAAATGTACTCATGGTCTTTGGCACTACGACCTTCGAAGACTTTGGTTTCTCGGGGTTGATGGAGGACACTGAACCTATCAAATGCAAGCAAAGTGTGGCTGCCTCCACGCTGATGTGTTTGAACAGATGTAAACAGGTGATCATGAGAAAGTAGGCCAAGTCGGCAGGGTTCCAACGCCGAAATGTTTCATAGTATGCTGGACTGTAAATGCCTGCAAGCCAAAAAAATACCATGGTCGGTCAGCAATTATGCGTATATCAAAACTACACGCGTATTCAAGAAATTAAGAGGCCACAGACTTGAATCTATGGTTGGTCCATCCCACATTGGTTGGAAGTGGCTTTCGGTGGCAGGCGTTCTGTGTTCGTTTGGAGAAGCAGAGGGCGAGGTTTCCTGTGAGGCCTCTTGGGAATCTTTCAACGGCGATGGGATCTCTGTCATACGTGACAGAGATGAGTCAGAACCACGAGTACTGAAGTAAGAGCCGAAGCAAATACACAGAGCAATTCAACACACCCAAAACATCCGAGGACGAAGAAATCTTTTGTGTCGCGTAAGTTGGGCGTCTTCCAAAACCCTTGACGTGCTTTTGGTAGTTTCTCGGCCTCCATAGCGTTCCGCGTACATCTTCTCTGTGTGGATTTTTGTAGGTGTTCTTTTGACAGTCTGTACAGTGACAAGGTATCAAAGTCGATGTTGTCATTTTGAGAGACTCTAATTTTCGAATGGAATCAATACAATCAATAACTATCAAGTTGATATGGCCAAGAACGAGTATGGCGCAACTTCTGGTGCACCGCACCTTATACGAATTGAAAAATTTATTGAATCACCTGCTCAGGATTCCGAACTGGGTGCGTGGCATGCAACCTTTGTGCGAAGGTGAGGGGTGATCTGAGGTTGTCTATATGCGCGGAAGACTCAGGAAAATCGACATGTACAATTTCAGCTGCAATTGGTGTTCAAAAAGGCGTCAGTATGTATCGCCCTCCCCAATTACACCTACGCGCTATTGATATAAGGCAAGTACGTCGCGAAAACTGCTCACTAAGAACTTAGATTTGATAAGAATGGCTCACGGGTGGCTACGTGCTGAGTCTCAATAATCATTAAAAACTGAGTGGCTGTTCAGACCTCAGGCGCAAGCAAAACCCGTACCTCAGCTAGCCATTGAAGCGTTGTTGGCCAGGCGACTGGCGTAGCAATGTTTCTTTCCTGAAAGACAGGGGGCGTGATTCGAGGTTATATAATCGAGAAAAACATTGCGTAAAACCCTCCATCTTCTAGCATACTCCACCGTCAGTCCATAAAAAATGTCCACACAGAAAGAAAACAAGTGTAAAAATCAGTCGCGAACTTCGCTGCCCCTGCCTTCAGCCGATTCAGATCCGCTTTCAAACAGCATTCCACACGCCAGCTATATTAATAATTCCCGGACACATAAGCGTCGAGGGCTTTCGAAGGACCTGACCGCCAAAAAATCCACATACGACAAAGAAAGACCTCATGGTCACACAAAAAAGATGCAAGATGCTCCTACGTTCCGACCAATAACTGAACGGACACGCGTTCCCGTACGAGTTCCAGGGGAACTCTCCGATGCAAGGCGGCCTGTACTTCAGCGTCAGAAATCCGATATCGCCGTATCAGTCGAATCAAAGGCGAACACAATCCACATTTACCTCAGGGTGCGCAATGAGGTTCGAGAGAAGCGTTTCTACCATGGTATGTGCAGGATATTTTTAAAAGACGGGATGGCGGACTACTCACAATGACGACCAAATGACAGATTCCAGCTTCCGGTTTATAATAATTGTGACCTCTAGTGTGTTGATGTCGCTACTTGAAGAGGCGCATCCAACCTACTATTGCATAGTCTCAGGGTTTCTTTTGGCCGTAGATTTCTACCTACTGTGGACATCTACTTAGTCAATGTGTTCAATCTGTAATTCCTAAAAATAGTTTTCAAAATATCTAGTAAATTGCCTTATGAGCACGCGATGTGCTCAGTCAGCTACTGGAGTACACGTTCGAAGAAAAGAAGTCGGGATTACCCATCGATTAAATCCAAATATTGAAATGAAAGGCTTGCGTAATAATAATTCAAATTCGAATCCATGAGAGCATCCCTTAGTCTTTTCGATAATCATTTGCATATTCACAATATAGAGATCTAAAAAACATCGGCCTAAAGGGCAACTTCTCAAAATGTGTCACATATGTCACAGTAGGATTGTCACTCATGATCACCGGTGACAAACTTATCGTTAGATGAAAAGTTCGAACTTCGAGCTCGATTATTTCGTTAGATGGAAAGTTCGAACTTCAAGTTTGAATATTTCATTGGATGAAAAGGTCGAACTTCAAGTTCGACCATTGGTCTGTTGAGAATAGATAGCCAAGCCAGAGATCCTGTGAAGTGGATTTACTGGATAGTGGTCCAAGTTGGCCGCCTTCAAGGTGAAATTTGAAAGCTTTGAAGTTCGAGTCAAGACCAACGACAAGTCAACCGTAAAAAAGAACCATCAGATTCATTGAGATTGCGAGAGAAAAAATCTTAGATTGCAGGATTCATACTGAAAGGTAAAGTATTGCCGGGTGATGTCTCTGGCTCAAGAATGTGGCTTAAAATAACGAGCTAGATTGATGCAGCGTTGGTTTGGTTCTCTATAATTGGTGACGAACAATGATCAAATTATGCTTGTCAAAGAGCCTAGTCGGCTGCTTTCTGGAACCTGTCTTCCACGTTTTTGGCGACACTATCTCACTATGTACTTCGCATTTAGGTGTGCCGCGTCAACATCAACGATCTATCTCATATTTTCGACTGGTGTTTCGACTCGGGACCAGATGCTCTATTCCAGTCCTGATACCCGTGCATGTCACCGTGATCACCTACCACACTTCCTACTCACTCCATATTGTTCATTATATTGTACACTTTATAGCATATGCTCACGTTGCCTGTAGTTTTTTTGATGCTCTGTGTGTTGTTTCTCCGCATCTCATCTAATGTGAAAGAACCAGATGTAACATCTATTAACCCAAGTACATAAAAAAAGCATAGGCATGACCGTAACAAGCATAGGCATGACCGTTGACAAATCACAGGGCTTTCACATATATATACAGATTGGCAGAGCCACGCGTTTTCGGATTGGTTTCATTCTTCCAGACCAGCAAGCAGAATGATCACCATGGGCATATTATCAGAACACCAAAAGGGCTGTATCGAATTAGACCTGGAGCATCCGCCCAATCAGCTTTCTGAATACGTAGCGTACGAAAAATGAAGTGGAGTACTGACTTCGATGTCCACCTGATACCTTCAAAGACCGTGAAATGGCCCGTATTTACGTAGTACCTGAGTTCTGAATACGCCAATGACTTTGGCTTTCAACATTCGAGAGGGGAAAATGTGATTGGGTACGAAGTGAAGGACGATTGCTCGAAGGATACCGCAAGTGGTCGAGCGAGCTCGAAGGTTGCAGTTGGGCGACAGGAATTCGACGTAAGCTTCCGGTAGGCTAAAGATCTTCTTCCAAAAAAGAGGGTCACCGTTAGGCGTTGCTTTCGCCGCCCGACCTCTTAGTGCTGTGATAACACGACGCCGGTTGCCCGTCGATGGAGCCGGCGTAGGTGTCCTGCGTGCCCGATTAGCAGCGGCTGAGCGTCTGCGTACAGGTCTGACAGACGAATCTACATTCCCGATTATAGAAATATTTCCAGATATTCTGACGGGCATTGTGAAGTTTCTATAGGATGGAGAGAGATTAGACATTGTACGGGAGATTTGGCCATATGATGAATACTGTAACTGACGAAGAAATGAAAACGCGAGTCTTAAGTGAGCAGATAATACGCGAAGATACGGGAGGTCAACTATTTCGCGAGGGGATCCCGGCTCGTGTGGCTTGAAAGCGCTGCGATCTGCTGTGATAGGGTTATATAGAATGAGGAGAATTCAGAGGTAGTAGGTAAGATTTGGTGATATCTCAATATTGTCACTGACCCCAAAAGCAAAAGCTGGATTCTTGAAGGGAGCAGATGATTCGTTATGGTGTGCGAGCGAATCGTGACTTGGAAGCGCATCAATATATGAATCTCCGTTCCCCTTTGTGGTGTTTTTCTCCAAGAGAATCATAACGCGAACCCGTTGTCCCGCAAATCAGTCTTAAGATTCCCCTTCAAACGACTTCGCCACTACCCACGCGCTTGAGAACACTCCATCGACAATGAGATGATTTCGCTCAGTGGCTGAACAGAGGACTCGTAAACAAAGTATGTGCGGCTGCTTATTCGCGATTGTGCTGAGCTCGTATCGCCTTGACTGATCCTTTTGAGTCTTGGAGCCCACCTTACCGGCCGATTCTCGACTGATCACCACTACTCCGGTGCACGTAAAACAAATCCCCGAATTACATCCGCCTCTACGCCGTTCTATTGTCGCCTTCTTCAAAGGGTGATTTCTCTTTTTTTTCAAATTCCTTTGTTTTTCAAACGTAAGAGTCTAACGCGAACCCGTTTCGCGTAAACCTTGCGTAACACGCGCTCCCCTTCAACCCACGTGCTGATCTCGGCACTGCTACGCACCTGAGAAGGCCTCACTGTAGAACACAGGAGTCGCGAAGAAAGCTGTGGATGCGCAGTGCAATTGTTCTGAGTAAGTCACTTTGATCGCTCGCTAAATTTTATGGTTCGAAGTAGACTAAATTTCCGAATACTCCCCACATCCACGTCCTCAAATTAATCTCCAGCTTTCTGTTCACCTTTTCAGTGTTATTTTAGGAAAACAAACGCCTGCTAGAAACTCGACATCAACCATTCTTTTTCCACTTCCTTCCGTTCTTCACTATCTGCCTTACCTCTGAAGCGAAACCATTTCATCAAGATGAAGCTGCACGGCGCACGACGGTTCGTCCGCAAGATCCAAAAGCTCGCCGACAAGCTTAAGAACAGAGTCCGTGGCCCTGAAGGTAAGAATTGGCCATCATGCTTGAAGTGCACGTTTTTTCGGGTAATTGAGGAAAGTGTTCATTTCTGTAGGTCTAAAACGTACACCAATGGCAGAGAAGCTTAACCAGAGACTCCGTGGACCTGAAGGTAAGAATTGTCCATCGTAAATGTGGTGCACGTTTTTCCCTGGATGATGTAAAGACGTTCTCATTTCTGTAGATCTCCGACGTACACTGATGGCAGAGAAGCTTAGAAAAAGACTCCGCGGACCTGAAGGTAAGAATCGGTCATCGTAGATTAGGTGCACGTTTTTTCCTGGATAATGTAAGAATGTGCTCATATCTGTAGATCCTCAACGTATACCGATGGCTTTGATAGAAAGTGTGGCGTCTATACCAATGGACGCGCAACTTTCTATCGAAAATGACGATGGCACGCCTCCATCAGAATCTGAAAGTACCCGTGACACCTGTTTCGAGCTGGCGCGCAAACAGTTTGGCCCCGCGGAGATCAAACCAATTGCTTCGAAAACCGGTCCTGCGTTGATTGCCTCAACTTCCAGCAAATATTTGGGCCCACATGACCAGGTAAGCTTGAAAAGCTGTCCATCTAACAAGGACGCAAGAGCTGACAACACCTGAACCAACCTCTCCGGTGAACTGGTCATGTAGGCTCTGTCATCTTCGAAGAATGTTGCTTCTGTCACCCACAAGGTTGAGAAAAAATATTGTGATTTTTCTCTGGTGCCACTAAGAAAGCGACCTTACAACGAAGAGAAAGGCTGCCAAGGTCAAAGCCTACTCTCCAGTGTTCTTGATATGATATGCGCTGACACGGAATCTATTGCTAGCCCATCCAGATCTGAACACCAAGCGAGCAAGGTATTCAAATGATTTATACAAATACGCGGAGGTCTTGCGCCTCATCAAGGGTCTACATTCAAATTTAAGAGACCTGATGTGCGGTAAGTCATTTGATACATTAGATCATCCGAATAACTCGCTGACTTGTTAACGTTAGACAAAGTGCCTGGGTTTGTGGAAGTTACGTCAGTAGGGAAGCACGCTCTTGTGCTTAGCGAAATGAGAAGCACGTTCTCCCAAGTTGATCATGTATTTCAGGAGATTCTCTTGGATGAAGAGGATTCCGTGATGTATGAAGCGAGTCATATCTGAGTGACCTCAGAGAACCGGAACTTGTCAGCTGGCAAGATTTCCGGGGGGACCAATACCTTGGCATGTAATCAACTCTGCTGTGATATGATACCATAGCTCCTTGTCATTCTTAGGCAGGATATCAGTAGACTTACCCTGATTATACTCGCAGAAGAGGGAGACTGGGTTCAGTTGGATGTGTTCTTTTACAAGTTTTTTCGCCAGAATTTGTTCATGTTGTCATGTGATTATCTCTTGCTGCTGTTTTTCTTTCTTGCCTCAAATTTAACTCGGCACCAGCGTTCTGTACTACACCTAATTATCTAAAAAGTGTGCCATAGGGAGTTAGCCTTTGCTGATAGAAATATCTCGACGTATTTTTTCAAGCATCATTTTGATGCCTTACTTCAAATTTTTGTGTGTATATTATGTAATATATTATTCTCAGTATATATCCATTCGGACCTTGAAGAGGAAGGCGGAAGTCATCAAGAGCGCTTCATTGTAATTTCGATTGAGAAAGATATAATGTGAATCTTTGAGCTTTCAAGTTCGAAGTTCGAGGCTTGAAGTTCGAAGTTCGAACTTCGAACTTCAAGCCTCGAGCCTCGAACTTCGAACTTTGAACTTCAAGCAGCTTCGAGCGAGCTTGAAAGCTCAAAGGTTGAAGCTCCAAGCTCTTCCACGCTTACACAAGCTTCAAGCTCCAAGCTCTTCGAGCCATAGAATGCTCTTTCTTTATTGTGAAATTTCTTTTTGGCCTTTTTTTCAAGTAAGGGTTCATGATTGTCAATTAGGACTGTGGTGTTCTACAAAATCAGAAGAATGAACGACTTTCCGTTTGTGATCTCAACTTGCATGAAATGCATTTCCCTCTTTTTGTGTTGTTTTGCTTTTTCTCTTAAACCGGATGTCTTTTCAAATAAACCCCTTTGAAATTTAATTCGTTTTCAAACTTTTTTTTCAAGTAAGGGTTCATGAATTTCAAGTAGAAATCTCTTTTTCTTCGGAATCAATAGAATCAATGACTTTTCTTTTGTGATCTCAAATTGCTTGATTCTTTGGATGAAACAACACCTCTTGCTACTTTTCATTTCCCTCTTTTTGTGTTGTTTTTTCTCTTAAACTACACGTTCTTTCAAATAACAGCCTTTATGATTTCGGAGGGGGGATTGGATCGCAAGGATCAATCCGAAGTTATTCCGCAAATGATGTTGCATCGGATGTATAGGGGATTGGGTCGCAATGAAATGACCGGTCTCGTATCGGATCCGGGATTGCATCGGGGCGGGACGGTGGATGGACCGTCGCGTGAAAGTTACACGATGAGACAATTCCATCGCACGTAGGGTTGAGTCGAAGCAGCATTTCGCGAGGTTGCATCGGAATGAGGATCAGTCGGGTGTCGCTCATGCGGCTTTATATCGGAGCTGAGCTCCATCGGATGAGCCCGACTGTTTCTGAATCGGACTGGGGATTCAGTCGCGCCAATCATGTTCGATTGTAGATCGCAAACCTGTTCCATCGCATGGCTTGGGCGTGATACTGAATCGGGGCACCGTCCCCGAATTGACAACGGGAAGGGCTTCCCGACGCAAATTTCTTGGCGGTGATTTCCAGTTCCAATCATCAAATGAGACTTGATTAGATTGAATTCTACAATGATCAAGATTAAAAATCAGTTTTTTGTATGTGTCAATGTCGATTTGGCTTATAAAGCAATGAAGAAGGTTGGATTTGTTTTGAGTTTTGCTAGTCTTACTGAGAGTGAGGGTGAGGAAAGTGAATAGTTTCCCCATACTATTCTTTTTTTCTTCTTTTCTCTCTTCTTTTCTGTTGTTTTTTTGATTGTTTGTCTCCATCGTTTTGAAAAACACCTACATATAGATATCCGTCCGATATCCGGTGAGGATTACTTTTTTTGCTCCCTTGTCCCACTACACCACAGAGGCGTCGAGACAGCCTCAAGGCGGCCCACCACTCCGCGCGCGCAGGCCGTCTACCGTTGGGCCTCGCGTGGACCGCCAGCAAGCGGCCAGGCAAGCTGGGTCACAGGCAAGCTTAGGGCCGGCTGCAGGCGAGCTCCTGGCTGGCTGCGGGCGAGCTTGATCTCGCCTCAAGAGCTGGTGGCTGCCAGCTGGCGGGCATGATATTGCCTCCAGAGCGTCAAACACGCCACCGGCCCGTTTGGTCTGAACCCGGAGCTGTCCATCGGGCAGTGCAGTCCGATTCAATACTTGACGTTTGGGGCTTTTCAGGCTCACGGGAAATTCACGCTCAGCTCAGCATGGGCACGGTTCAATGATTAGGCAAACAACTCAAATATCATTTCAAAGCCTACATGATAGGTAATGATAATTGAAATTGGGAAGCTAAACAAGTATCACTTTGCGTATAGTGATAATAATGTGTAATAGATTCTATAAATCGTCTTATGAAGTTCTATTAAATAATTGTAATATTATTGATTATATTTGGTATTTTCTTGGAGATGTTTGGGATCACCTGTTCTATCCAGACCCTGTTCCACTGTCCTCACGTGGTGGAATTTGATTTTGAGGAATTCATGCAATGATGTCCGCCTCGGAAGGCAAATCGAGCCCCTTGTTTCGTGCAATCTTCTCCGCTTTCAGAGTTTTAAACCAGGTCTTCCCGTCAAAAAGCTGGCAATCCTCGTCCAGAATCAGCTGATAAAACCTAGGGTATCAAACAGTGTCAACTGTTTTTGGCCCAAAGATGAATATACTGATGCTGTTAAGTTGTCTTATGCGGTAGTATAGACATCATCACGTCTCAATCGCAGCAAGGAGAGCTGCTTATCAAAATTCCCCCAGATGGATTCACAACCTTTCCGACCTTTCACAATCAAACGGGTGGCTTCGTGACGCTGAGCCAAATAGCTTGGGTAAGCTAGCGGTCACCTAAAGATCTATAGTGTATACAAGCTCACCAGGTAAGCAATACGTGCCCGCATGGCATGATCCGTTTTGGCCCACACCTCTTCAACTTGGGCATTATCCTTAGCCTCACCACATCTAACAGCAACCTATATATAGTTCAACAACAAATATATACAGGGTCAATGACCCTTTGTGGTTCAAACAAAATATAGGGACTTACTCGTTGTACCAGGTTTTTGATGGTCGGAACGGGGATGGTAACAAGCTCCTTGGTTTTAGGGTCATGGATACCCACCAAAAGCTGGCAAACTTCATGGTTAGTGAGTGCGATGCGACCGGTGAGTCGAAGTCAATGAAACTTACAAGATTGCGCAACTTCTCTCGAGCATGTTTGCCCGCGTCTTGGAGGGCAGTAGCAAATGTGTTTGTATCTGCTGCATCCTTGACTCCTTGGTATAGGGGTGGTAGGTGTTCAGCAATAAAGGCGGCACTTTCCTTCCCAATTGTTTTCTACAGGGAAAACAAATGACATCAGAGTTTCCCCAAATCTCATACATGTGAATTTTACCTTGAGTGTATTAAACAGCAAATTGGGGAGGTAACCTTCTGGAGTTGTTTCAAGCGCAGTATACGAGTCCAGTAGCGGAGAAAACAGTAATTTAAGTGCCATGGAGTTAATCACACCCTAGACCGCAGACCAATATTCAGTCAGTTTCTTTATGAATGATTTAGGAGAGTGGAAGTCAAAGTTATTACCACGAGCTTCGCACTCGCCACCCACTTGTCGCACGGAGGTGTGGCAGAGGTAGCAGCAGACTGTCCTTCACCCTGCTGCAGGAGGGCGGGATGACATTGCGCAAACCATGAGGGACAACGTTGCTACTTGTCCCGTGAGCAAATCCATCTTGGTTTGGAGCCGCAATATCTCCATCAAAGTCAATGACTGGGTGGTTGCTCCTGCGAGATGTCGGTTATTCTTGCCAAACACCTGTCGCGCAAGAAAGACAGTGATGTAAGTGACCCAAAGTAACTCTGCTTAATAGAGGATTTCTGTACCTCAGATTGGGACAGCGCAAAGGCGCGGTATTCTGCATCTAATGTACAATAATTGGCCATCATTTCAAAGACTTTCTTGGTTGGCACCGGGAGAGGATTTGCAAATATGATCAACCCATCATCCGTCCCATAATCTTGGGTCTGTGGGTGCTCATTCGAGACCATCTCCTTCCAACTGGGTGGCTGCCCGAAGGGAGTTGTTTGCGCGCTTGCCCGGTGACTGCCGGTTCGAGCTATGGGCAATAGAGACCTATCATCTTGGTGTTGGCAGGCCTGAGATGGTTCGATGCGGTGGTCTTCCAATGTGGGAGTTTGCGGGTTACTAAACCTGTTGGACTCTGACGTCGCAAGAAAGTAAATACATTTACTTTACTCGTGAATCAATGTCTTTAGCAAACATCATTGATGAAGAAACTACGTCATCTCACGGTTGGTATTCCTGAGCTTGCCTTGGCTGTTGAACCTGTGAAGCCCATGTGAGTTTGGAGACGGAAACGTTTCAGAATGACCCTGCGATTGGATGCCACCTTCTGAGCTCGGTGGAATTTGGGTCAGATCAATTCAACACTGGGTCTTTGAATGGATAGGGACATCTCACCGTTGGGATTCCTGAAACCCCCAACACTGTTGAACCTTTGTTTCCCAGGCGTTGGAGACTGCAAATCTCCTGCATTGTTGGGTGAGTCAATTGCACCACACGCCAATCAAAGTGGTTGGCTACTTCGAATGGCAAGTGACCCAACTTGAATGTTTGGAAAAAGAAAACTCACCGTGGCTATTCCTGACACCGCCAACACTGTTGAATCTTTGAAGGCCAGTGGTTGGAGACTGACCACTATCAGCTTGACCTTGGAAGTCGATTCCTCCATCTGAGAAACATTTCAGCTAGTGGACATTGACAAGTAATTTGGGGAACTTACTCACAGCCCCCAACTACTGGTCACTGGCAGGCCAGTACATCCGATGTCTCCAAAATGTTTTCAACAAAACTTCAATTTGTTTTCAGCACAACATCCATCTGCTATCAAGATGTTTTGGGTCAGTTACCAGCAAAATATGTCATACCACCAAAATTGAGATGATGTCATACAGCATCATAAACCTGTACAAACCTGCTCCTGTATTTCCCCACCAAGAATATATAGTCTATTAACCTTTGTGACATAAATTGACTGAGTTATTGAGGTTTGAAAAAAAAAATCACGGACAAAAAATACTATTTTGGTACTATACCTAAGAATTGATTCTGGAATGTTTTCCACCTTCATCAATCTACATACACAAAAAAATTGAGTTTCCTTTGGAAAATACGTTTCTCCACATTTTGGTCCCCTACAGCCTTCCTGTATGGGCAGTATTTCTATATGTAATTGTGGTGTGTACATGAGCAGTCAACAATTTGATTGATTATTTGTTTCTAGGCAGAATATGGCAAAGTTTATGGCAGAAATTTTTGTCAAATACCATCTACATGTATATCAATCAAACTCAGAATGATTTTGGCAATATGTTCCCTCAAAATTTGTCTTGGGGCAAAGAACTTCAGAAAATCAAACTTGCAGACACATTCAGGAATTACATGTGGAAATACTGCCCATACAGGAAGGCTTTACAGGACAAAAATGTGGAGAAACATATTTTCAAAAGGATTATCAATTTTTTTTGTATGTATATTCATAAATCTGGAAGATATTCCAGAATCAATTCTTAGGTATAGCACAAAAATAGTATTTTTTGTCCGTAATTTTTTTTCAAACCTCAATAACTCAGTCAATTTATGTCACAAAGGTTAATAAACTATATATTCTTGGTGGGGAAATACAGGAGCAGGTTTGTACAGGTTTATGATGCTGTATGACATCATCTCAATTTTGGTGGTCTCCCATCCACTTCTCAACAAATTCCCAATCAATGGATGTTATCCATTTGATATCCATTTCATAAATTTCTCATAACTTGCTCATAACTTGCTAGGGTCGGTGGGAGGCACTGGCCTGCCAGTGACTTGTGATTGGGGGCTGTGACTGAAACTAAACAATGGATCTGAAGGCATTTTTCAAGGGGTTTTAATGCCAAATGAGAAACTTCGAAAAAAGGCAGAGGTGTTGGATTGATTCAGCGCAGAGTGAAGAAATTTGGCAAAGGTTTGTTTGCCCTCCGGCAAATGAACCTGATACTGTGGGCCCGCATGGTTTTTAACGTGGACCCACAAACTTTGCTTTTCCAATATATGGTCCCGCAAAGATATTTTTTTTGTTCTCTTGAAGCACCTTCAAACAATCAATTCCTCCATCTGACCTTCAAAAATGCCAAAGCAAAGTTGATATTCCACCAGAAGCAGCGCTGGTTTTTTTCTAGGTTATAAGAAGAACTCGTAAGTGCTTCTTCATTCTTTGTACCATCATGGTCTTTAATCACTTTGTGCGACATAGTGGTGGACCTTCCTCCACATCCAAAAGCAACCAAAAGGAAGTAATGGGGGATCAACCAAGCGCTGTCAAAGTGGAGGGTTTTGAACAACGTCAATCTTTGACCCCTACCAATAAGGCCATGAGCACGGGTTCAGACAAGGCAACACCAGCCTCAACTGCAGTGTGCGCGGCTGAAGAGGGAGATCGCCCCATAAGGGAACGCCCAGTTTTAGGTGAGTTCCATACGCACTCACTATAAATCCATTCTCAAAATGGATGACCTGATCCGTTTCTTTAGAGTTCCCCGTGGACGGAGGTTGGGTCAATTACATGGCACTGCGAAACGTCATGGACGAGTCTGACCTCAAGATGTATCTTTGTTTCACTCAGATGGACTCGGCCAAAATAGACATAGTCCTGCCCATTTTGGAGTCAAAGGGTGTCAATCACTTTGACTTGTTCTTATTCTGGGAGTATCTGTTTCTTTAGAGTTCCCCGTTGACGGAGGTTGGGTCAATTACATGGCACTGCAAAACGTCATGGACAAGTCTGACCTCAAGATGTATCTTTGTTTCACTCAGATGGACTCGGCTGGAATAGACATAGTCCTGCCCATTTTGGAGTCGAAGGGTGTCAATCACTTTGACTTGTTCTTATTCCGGGAGTATGTCAACATGGAACTTTTAAAGTCTTGGGATATTTCGCCCGGTTCTGCTGCTCGGATGATGCTCTATCCACTCATGTTCTACCAATTCCAAGTGGAATTGGACGGGGAATTTGTTTAGATACACTGTAACTTCCTCAAATACTTTTTGTTATCAATCAAAGTGAATGAAATATGGATATCTGGTTATCAACATACTGTTATATGTTTCACATCCTTTGCTGATGAAACAATGTGAATGGATTCATCTTGCATGATGATATCAAGGAAACAAGATGAGAGTCTTTCGATTACAATATCGTGTGATATTATATGAACCCTTTAGATAATATCATTAACCAAAGGGATATCGATTTTATATCCCTTGTACGGTCTCTGCATGAACAAGTCATACAGAGACCGGTGACCCATTACCCGAAGATGTCCTATAACTGTGTTAGGACATCTTCAATCCTCTTTTCTTTGCCAAATCCTTGCGTTGAATCTGTCCCATCACCTTTGAGCAACATGTATCCAATTAATCCTGCCAAAATTGATCAACCTCGTATCTCTCTCCAACTTACCCAAGCTATAGAGGACGCTGTAGACCGCGGAGAAGATCTCAGCACGGTAGCCCACATGCTGGAATTCTTGGATTGGCAACGCATGAGGATGTATGCCACCTTGACCACCCGTTTGCAAAAGGATGGGGCCAATTACGGCGAATGGGTTGACGGCTTGAACGAAAGGGTGTGGTTCTTTGCTCGGATTAATGACTACCTGATCAACCCTTGCCCTGTAATCCACTCGCTCTTTGATTGGATCTTGGAAGAGATTCTCTTGGCCATGATGCGTGCGACTGTACATCCCAGCGTTCTTCAGGTGCTTGCTATAGCCTCCGACCCTCATGAAGCGCTCATGTAGCTCAATTGGTACTACGATTATTGTAAGTGGTGACATCTACTTATTTTACTTAATACTGTAAATGGCTTGGAACACCTCAGTACCTATAAATATAGTGCACGAAGTAAGCACTCTTCTCCTACAAAGCTTAGGTATGCAGACCTTTGCTAACCTAACGGTTCGGGAGGTAAAAGTTAATGTGAGAAACAGAAAGGTAAGCACAAAGGCTCTGACGAATTATCTAACGGAAGTTCTCTTTCCAAAAGATTAGATTATATTACTGCTCTACTAACCTACAAATATAGTGCACAAAGTAAGCACTCTTCTCCTACAAAGCTTAGGTATGCAGACCTTTGCTAACCTAGAAACAATAAGAAAAAGAAATAAGAAAGAAACAAGTTAGGTAGATGAAATGTAACAAGATAAATGATGTGTTTTATACCTAACGGTTCGGGAGGTAAAAGTTAATGTGAGAAACAGAAAGGTAAGCACAAAGGCTCTGACAAATGATCTAACGGAAGTCTAATGTGTTTGTCGAGTTAAATCAGTAACGAGATGGTAAACGGTGATTTTTAAGAGAAACACTTACTCTCTTTCCAAAAGATAAGGAAAGAGAGGAAGTCGCATCAGACACAATCATAAACATATAAAGAAAAACATTTGAAGAAAATACATTGGGATTGATGTTCAGTAAGGTTATTGGGAAAACGAAAAACTACTCTCAGATCAAAACCAGAATCATACTAAAATTAAATTATTTGTATACAAAAATCTGGAAAGGTCAGAAACAGGGCAAAAAATATGAAAAAATATGCATCCTGTTCCTTGGTTTGAGATCTCCAATCTGCATATTTTTCCGTATTTTTAGGGTTCATATTGGTGAGTGTTCAAATCCCAAAGCAAGGAGATACATTCTCACCTTCTAGCCGCAACATTGGATTGAAGATGTGTTCCCCATATTGCGCATTCACTTCTTGACATAGTTTCACCACCTCAGAAGGAGGCAAAGATTCGTGTGCAAGTTGAAATTTTTTCTGAAACACTTTGTTCACAGGATCTTGCACTCCCAAATCACGGCCCATTGCATCAACTTGGGTTTTGCTGTGGCGTTTTTGAGTGGTTGTCCACATTTCCTTGGTCCAGCATTGCGTTTGGTCCCAGTCGCGCCCAGGCAAAAGGGACTGAACAAGTTACTTCAACAGGACGATCACAGACATAAACAATCTGGAAGTCATACCTTTTGTCCATCTTCATCTACCCCAAGAAAATCTCTTACAAAGTTCTGGGATTTTTTTTGCGCCTGCTTGGAGACATGTAAATCACACATACGACACGGAGTAAGGGTGTTCGCTGGGTTGAGAGTATTTGATATTTCCGCCTGCATTGGTGAGTCACCCAGGTGGAACAGAGACACTGCCATTACCATCATGTCCTCCCCAAGGGTGTGATTGTATGCGAAGACGCCATTTGTTCCGTAATCACTAAAGACAGCAGTTCCAGGTCAATACTAAGTTTAGTCATTAAGGTAGCACAAAGTACTTCACTTCAGTTGATCAACAACCGGATCAAATAATTCCAGTGCGGTTGCACAATTCGAAGTTGCCAGAAAATGTATATTGAATTCTTGATTTGATAGATTTGGAGGTAAACCAGCAAGAGTGAAGTAGATACTCATGTGCTTGTTCCACTTTTTGGAGACGCTTCCAGAAGTGTCGTCTGAATATAGAGCCAGAGGGACATGTTGTATCACTACAAGAAACATAACATTTTCTGGGCAGAAAATTAAATTATTTGTATACAAAAATCTGGAAAGGTCAGAAACAGGGCAAAAAATATGAAAAAATATGCATCCTGTTCCTTGGTTTGAGATCTCCAATCTGCATATTTTTCCGTATTTTTAGGGTTCATATTGGTGAGTGTACTAACAATACACCCTCATAATCATCAGATTACCACCTGTAACGGAGGATGAAATTTGGCTGATCAGTGCTGAGAGAAAGTTTTGATTACTATAAACCCCATAACTTTGTCAATTATGGCTCAAAACACTTGATTTGAGGTGCATTAGAAAGCTGAATTCCTGAACTACAACTCTCATTGTGACACACAATGTGTAATCCCAATGACTGACATTCTATTTGATGATATGTGAAATTCAATTTCATTGGGGATATCTTTCTTTGCAGGCCCGCCACGTATTTGCTTCATTTATGGACTACCTTAAGGCAATTACCAGCTTTCCAATGCACTCAAAATTGAGTGTTTTGAGTCATAATTGACAAAGTTATGGGGTTTTGTAGTAATCAAAATTTTCTCTCAGCACTGATCAGCCAAATTTCATCCTCCGTTACAGGTGGTAATCTGATGATTATGAGGGTGTATTGTTAGTACACTCACCAATATGAACCCTAAAAATACGGAAAAATATGCAGATTGGAGATCTAGTCAAACCAAGGAACAGGATGCATATTTTTTCATATTTTTTGCTCTGTTTCTGACCTTTCCAGATTTTTGTATACAGATGATTTAATTTTCTGCCCAGAAAATGTTATGTTTCTTGTAGTGTATAACTTTTCCTTGCGCCTTTGCTCACCATGGGTTTACAATGGGATGGCACGGTTCCCTTGCTTCGACTGAATCTGCAAAGAAATGATGAGTGCAGGCAATATACCATAAGGACGCAAAACGTGACTTACTATACATATAATTGCCACACCAGTTCTTCATAAGGACTTGATGCTCCAACTTCACAAGATCAAAAGTTCGCCAGAAGTCTTTGCAAGGAATGTTGAATAGAATATCAGAATCAAAAGCTGGATCATCATGTATTATGACTTTAAGATTTTGTGTGTGATAGGGGTCGCGTTTGACCAAAGCTGGCAGACACCGTGCCATTATACAATCATCTTGTTGGAAGAAGAACACTGGTACTACAAGCTGCTCTGATTTCAGTTGGACTGGTTTGTAGATGTAGTAGTGTAAATTGTTGGATGATATCATTTGTACACGTAAATGTGGAGGATAATCTTCCCGCCACTTTTCGCATTGTGATAGCCGGTTGATGGGGCCATTAACCGTCAGCTCAGGCACATAGACCAAATGTGGGCTGACTAAGGGGTTTGCCAACTCCTAAATAATTTTATTAGCTATTTCCAAAGTAGTTCCTTCATGAGACGGAAGAGAACTCACATTAATGATGATAGTCTTGATATCCAAACCAAATAGAGGATTACCAATCGGACTAGTGGTCTCATGTACCTTGAGACCCAGCTGAACTTTTAACCTTTTTACCAGTCTTGACAAAGTCCCTCATTCAGGAAGAGTCACACCCAGAAGACGAAGGAGGGATCGGATCCACTGGTATTGTGTTTGTGAGAGTAGATTTTGGTTCAAACCAATCATGAGCAGAGCCACCACATGCTATCACCATTGGAACAATACCAATCAGAATCTAGTGAACAGACATAGTCAAGCATCTTACCTCTTTCTTTTTGAATGGGTACCAATCAGCTGTGTCTTCGATAATCAACCCTCCAACCTCTGAATCTAGCTCTTCATCAAAAGCAGCTGGATCTTCAGCATCATTGTCAGTGGAATCAAGTGCAATGAACGCCGCATGAAGCTTGTCAAAATCCAGGTGCCAGTCCGAGTCATCGTCTGAATCATCTCCATTATTGCCTGATGGAGTGAAAGACCGTAGCAAAGTGAGTGGCAATGGTGGAATTGAAGCAGGATGTGATGGATCATCATTGTCTTTGGAGAAGTGATTCATAATCAGGTCATTGACTGGTGGAGTTGGGGTTCTATGCGGCTGAAATTGTTGATGCCAGGCTTGGTCTTCTGCTTGTCTGATCAAGTATCTCTCCGCTGATGCTTTGTGAGCGGGGGTTGCAACATGCTCTGCAAAGTATAACATACTCTGGCTATTGAGTCAGACCATACATTGATATTTGATGGGGTTCCGCTGAGCTTCGCGAATGTCTGTGTAAGGGATGATGAGCAATGAGTGGGTGAAGATTACGCTGAAAGTCTGGAATGTGACTTACATGGTGGCAGTGGAACCTCGAGTGTATTACTACTCATGATTTTGGAAGGGATGTGAGTTTGGATGGCGGGTGTTGAGGTTGTGACAAAGGTGTCTTGATGGGTCCGGCAGATTGCTGGCGATCTGCCAATTGGATTTTGCAGTTTGTAGAGTGGCCAACTGCAGCCCAACAGTTGATGGGCACGGCGCGGCCTGCTGGGCAGCCTAGCGAGTGGCTGACTTGCAGGCCGCCTGTTGATGGGCCACGTGGGCGCCTGCAGACCGCCCTTTGAGAGTGGCCGAAAGGTGCCCGCCTGCTGATGGGGATCAAGACGGCCTGCAAGCTGCCTTGCGGTCTGCTAGAAATGCAAACTTTGCAAGGCTGCGGAATCTGTGGGCCACGTCTGGTGGCGGTCTGCTGGCCATTCACAGGCGGCCTTTCAATCAAATCTTTCAGATTTGCCAATTGGCCGCCTGTAGGCGGTCTACAGGCAGCCCTCACCTCTGTCTGCAGGCCGCCTACAGCCCTGACCATTCTCAGATTTAAGTGCTTCCGTGGTGTACCGAACTGGCTGGAGTATCCGGCTGCCGGATGGCTCCAAGGAACCATCCAACATCCGGATCCGGCGGATGCTCCAACGGATATCCGGGGTCGGAGCTCTCCTTGAATCAGGATCAGTTCCTGAACCGACAACGATCATGACAGCAGGCTCCAATTCTTTGGCTTTTTTTATCTATTTTTGACTAGGACTTTGGTGCCCAGCCGCCTCTAGCTCAGGGATGAACGCATCTTCAATTTTTTTGTCCTTTGGGTCAATCATTTTTCATTCGGGAAAAATACTACACGCGCCCAGTGTTATAAGACGACACCGTGTCACACACCACGAGAACAGTCGGGTATGATAGCGAGGGGCCGCAATTGAGCAGAGAGCCATGACTCTACATTTATTAGAGTGTATGGACTGGGCAGTTGACGTCCATGCTGAGCTGAAATACCTACCACGGAGCGGCTTGAGATCAAACTGACATGGTAGGGCTCAGTAGGCGGGCTGCAAAGGCCAGTGGTATTTTTATCGACTGCCATGACAAAGAGCTCAGGCATGGTATCTTTTTAAAGTGAAGGGTCTTTTCCGTTATTTTTAGACTAGGACTTCGGCGCCCAGCCGCCACCTAACCTGGATCTTAACTCCCTTAAGTCTACTTGAAGGACTACGCCGCTGTCCAAGGCATCACCAAGACGTGAACGTTCTCAACTAATCTCACCCCTATTGATCCAATGTTGAGACCTTTCCGAATCCTTGATTTTTTTTGCTCAGCTCGTGGAATTTCATATACTGTACTGTTAATTTCATTGACTGATAATTATAAAATCTTAGCATGATAGCAAAGATTCATGCAATGCATACGTTTTCAAGCAACTTATCCATGGTACAACACGTTAATATTCATGTACTATTGTTCTGCGGATATCGCTGACGACATCCGAATCAGAGCGTGTGGCGAAATAGTCAAAAACTATCGCGAGGTGTGGCAGGATTTGTCGGTGACTCTACAGCACGTCAACTGGGATCCCTCGGTACCTGACAAGTCTTGAGTCGTACAAATCGTGGCTAATATTCAACATTGCAGGACATGTGCCGTGTTCCATTCGTATGTGAATATATCTGTACTAACTCAGCGCTGGATAGCATCACTGGCAAGGAAATGAACATTGGAGCGACCGTACATGTAGAAGGAGTAGCGCGCGGCTTTTGCGAGACAAATGTTACTTGGGTTTTGACCGTACGTTATCTTCTCAAATCCTGCCTTGTACATTTGACTGAACGTCGGGCTTCTACTGCTAATTGAGGAGGTAGAGATCATCTTCGTGTCTGTCATGCGAAATGGGAGCCTTTTGTGCGGGAAACGTCGAAAATGCAATGAGCCGTTCTGGTCTTGCCCAGAGCTCCGTTGAGCGCTCAGTCTTCATTTGTTTGTTGTTAGCAATTTAGTACAGTTGTGGTCTGTGAAACAGAACACTCGATGATGCTGGTGTTGCCTATCCGGGTTTCTTTTTTTGTCCATGGCAATTTAGTACATTTCTAGTTTGTGGGGTGGGAGAATTTACACCGGGTGCTTTACACAGACCAACCCGGTGTAAAACAGTTCTGGTGTAAAATTCGAAAAAAGGGCCTTATTTTTGAATTTTATACTTACATTTCATTTTTTTTCTCGGTGTGAAAAATGACTGTGTAAACGTGTCAGTGTAAAAACAAGGTACCCCGTTGAGATGTGTAATTTTACACAGCAACTTTTACACTGCAATACCCGGTGCAAAAAGTTACAGTGTAAAAGTCCGAGACCCGAGCTGAGCTGAGAATTTTACACTGAGACGTGTAACACAGACCAGTTTCGGTGCAAACCTTCCCGGTGCAATATTACCAAAGTAGCTTTGATATTACAATTTTACACCGCTATAGCTATACTTTACACCGCACAGGATCCATGATAGTTGAAACCATGGATGTCCATTCCCATGAGGACAAAGTTACACCCTGAACAGTGTTGAATACCTCCATATAGAGATGAACAAAGAAGAATACCTCATATGGAGATGAACGAAAAAAAAACAAATATCCACAAATATTTATAGTACCCACATCCGTGAGATCGGATGATGGATGTAACGTGGTATAGATGAAAGTTTGACACGCACATATCCTCTAAAAGGGCCCAGTGTTTCTGGAATCCGAAGACACAGCACCCTTTTCGTTAACTTTTCGTAAATTGATTCTCCTATTCGATTTAGATTGAATCCCAAAGAAATCTCTTTCGAAGATGGGACAAGCCACATCGCACTATGATGCCAGCATCACAACAGATGATAGTCCAGCAGTTAATTGCTCAATTGATTCGACTCAAAAGAGCCAAAATACACACACGACCAGCCTTTCAATTTATGATGAGGATTTATCATCGTCAAAGCCTTGTTCTGACAAAGGAAACCCGATTTATACTCCATCTAAACATAATATTCCCACTGTAAACATCATTCAACTTCCCCAATTTGGCAGAGGAAAATGATTAATAGTACAGTTTTTCATAAAAGAATCTAATACTGCACACCTGGGCCATTTCACCCACACTACATATGTGCAGCAAGCTAAGTCAATAGTTGTCTATCATGTACATACAGGTCTGCTCAGTTTTTTGCCCATCAGAATAAATAAATCACATGTTATACCACATGTAACTTTTTCGACTTTGAAATTTTTTTCCCAAAAATTCACTACATATAATTCTGTAGCTGCTCAGGCAATATTGTTGAAGCTATGTCTTAGTAACAGAAAGTGTGTTACATGCAGTTGAGTTGATGAGATCACACCAAAACATTGAGTCAGTGTATGTAGTCAATCTTTTGGAAGCTTTTTTCAATCTGAAAGAAGTTACAGCATGTATTACATATGAATAACTTGTCCTGATGAGCAGATAACTGAGCAGAACTGTATGTACATGATAACCACATATTCACTGAGCCTGCTACACATATGTAGTGTGGGTGTTATGGCTCAGGTGTGGAGTGATAGACCATTTTATGACAAATCATACTCCCAATCATTTTTCCCTGCCCACTTGGGGAACCCGAATAATGTCTGCAGTGATTCCGTTCAGCGCTTCTTCCAACATATCCTCATTTTCGTCTTTCAGAGAAGAGGAGTTAGACATCTTTCAAACTCCTCGAAAGTTATTCTCACGAGCCTATACATTATCACCGCCATCTACACCTCCAGCCACGATGTCTTCTCCTGATGTAACTCCTGCGAAGTCAGCGCAGGTCAAAAATAACCGCCGCCCCAATCTACAACTACCTACCGATAAAAGTCTGTTCAAAACTTTTATTGACCATGGTTGTGAAGTCGACGAGCAAGACTATCCAATATTCCCCAACGGCTGCACTGTATATGTCAATGACCCTGAATACCCAGCCAAAAACTTCCGCTTTGTTGGTTGGACTCACACCATGCGAACCGAAACTACAAAGAAATCCGACTGGATAGTTAGAAGATATTATTGCTTGGGAGTTATCAAATGCTCCGAGGATGGATGTGCTTTGGCTGCCTCCCCACCCACAGGCCCAAATAAGATTGCGGAATCGTAAGTCTTGGCCGTGTTGGATGGATCAGCCTTTACCTTTACATAGCTGATACTTTTTCCTTTTTCGTTTTCATCACCTCACATCTTAAAATGAACAGACTCACCTCTTGTCCTATATCAACTTGCGATGGCCTTCGAACACATATCAAGTGTGATGCCGTTTGTCGATTTGATGCGGAGCTAGATAAAAATGGCAAAGAAGGGTGGGGTTTGCTTCGACATCAAGGTACTCATCAACATGAGTGGGCTGAGTCAAAGAAAGCGGATCCAATCTCAAAGGAAAAACTTAAGGAAAAGGTGCTCAATGACCCTAAAACCGGACCTTTAGGTATGAAGGTATGTATAAACATTCATTTTTTGGTCAAATTAATGTTTATGGGTTGATATTTCAATGTTTTATTTTAGGTTGGACAGGCGCACACGAGAAAGGACCCCATTGAATCAGTAACAGATATTCACACGTCTTTTGGCCATGCCGACCGCCTAGGAATATACTTGCGACGGGTCTTCCTAAGACAGGCGGGCATTATGACCAACTCACAAGACCCCGAATCCGGTGACAAGTGGCTTCAGTCCATGATGGACTGGTCCAAGTGAGTGTTAAGTTTTTTTTTAAATTTTTTCGTTATAAGATGGCTGATCAATCAAACATCTGCTCTCAGGAAAGGCCTGCGTGTGGTTTCTTCGTCTATTGCCGGGGAAGACGCTCACATCTCATTCCAAACTGGTTGGATGGCGGAGGTGTTGGTTGAACCTGACGAGAGATCAACTACTTATACTGGTGGCTTACTCTCGGACGTAACTTACCGGTTTTTCAAAATGGGATACTTATTAACAACTTCGAAGTACTGCGAAACAATCAAACGCTGGGTACCAGTCCTTTTCTCGTGGCTCGGTGGTCTCCAGGCAGAACATTACAAAATACATTTCAAGAACTTGCTACAACAGATTCAAAAAACGAAAATGACCGACAAGGAGAAGGGAATGATGGTAGAACAAGTCGTGGATTTATCACTAGCTCAGAAAGTCGGTTTCCAAGATGCTTACATGGAGGTATTCAAATGTAATGATAAGAATGTGGCGTTGGCGAAATTGCATGGCTGCGAATGGCATTACCTCCAAGCTGTTGCGCGTCTTAAGAAGAATAGTAAGATTGTCAAGCCACAACAAAAGGTTAGTAATGTTTGATTATTCTGATTCATGCGTTGAAATATAAGCTGACCATATCATCCAACAGGGCACTTGGGAGAAGAAATGTAAAGCATTACTCCTCCCAGACGGACCCGGTGTCGACGACCTTGATACCCGTTTTGAGGAGTTACGGCGGCTTTTCCCATTAGCCAAGAGGTGGCTAGAGTGGTGGAGTTGCTCCGACATTCAAGCTATGCTATTTCCCGCAAGAAAGCGGTTGCCACTCGACAATCCTCCCTTACCAGAGGAAGACAGTGATGCTGACGAAGACGTCGATGACGAAGAAATCATTCGAAGACACCCGGAGTTGCCTGCGACCACGAATGGACAGGAATCTATGCATCGTGTCTATTATCTCTTGTGGTAGGTCATCTTCCGATAATTTTATTGGAATTTCAGTCAAATAATTTTGACTTCGCTGATGTTTTTGCCTATCTTGTGTGCAGCAAAGGCAAATGTCCAGTCATACCTGGCATTATCCAACTTATAGCCTTTGCACAGTGTATGGAAAAGGATTACCAGCAGGTAAAAAAGGGTATTTCCATTACCTACGGTGGTCAATCCGAAAAAACTTGGCAAGATCTTGTGAAGGCGATAGGAATGGCACCCCCAACCAAACGAAAGTTTACCCGAAACGATGGCCGCGCTCCTGACACCACAGAAGAACTTCTGGGAACTCAAAAAAGCACCAAACCACCCAAACTTGGTCGACCTGTTGGATCCCAGAATATCAACCACAATCCTCTCACGACTTACCAGTCTTATTCTGCTGGAACTAATGAAGGGACCCAAAACAGGTGTTGGAAAACAGCTACTCTAGAAACACTTTACGCCTTGTTCAGCCCAACTTGGAGTCAATTCTTGACGGTAAACAGCACAAACTTGGTCAACGAACTCATCCGCCATTTCACCGCAAGATGTAAAGTGGAATTCAATGGCGATAACTTTGGCCATAGCATGTCTCGATGGCAAACTATTCTACACAAAGCTATTCAAAAATTATCGGAATCCTACACAACTGGCCAGTTTGCATCCGCCAACGGATTTATGGAGTTTTTACTTGCCAATGTGGAAGACAACAAATCATCTCTTTGACCTCTCTTCGAACACACCAGGATCAAATCTGTCACATGTCTTCGAAATTCCAAACATTCCAGTGTCAGTACTTGACATGGCGCTGTACTAAGCGTAACGCCAAAGACTTTTAAGGACGCCTCTATTCCTTACGCGGATATATCAGAGTTGATATCCTTGTGGTTGTCTGAAGGACTCACGAAAGAAGGGATCTTATGTCTTCACTGTCACCCAAGAGACAGTGAAGGGAACGCCCCTGTCGATATCACTGAACCGTCTTTTGTCCAAAATAATATCCGGATTGTAATCACCGACGTCCAATCTGCACCACCACATCTTTATTTTTTCTTGGATGGTGTTGCCGGTTTGAATGACAATGAGCGCAGACGGTACCAGGGTGAGACCAATTGGCCTGCTCAAATTGAAATGGGTGGTGTCGAATACTTTATGGTTTCCAGAGGATACTGGGGACACTCACATTATTGGTGCAGGATTGTGCGCTCAGTCGAGGGAATTTTAGGAGTGTGGTACTTCGATGAGCTTGTCAACGGAGGTAGAGCTCAGCTGGAAGGAACTGACGTGACCAGCTTAGCCGGTTGTTCTCCAAACACTAGCTGGGTGTTTTACTCACGAATGCCTTTGACAGCAGAAGTCGACCATATCCAAAAATCCATTCGTGGCCTAATGAAGGTGTTTCCCAAAAACCATTCAGCCATACCCTTTTTGATGCCAACACACGATTTCCCTTTTGGAGGCGGCCGGCCCAATGCAAGTGACGATGAACATGATCTTCACAACGAACCAGATATATCTTCATTTGTTGAGAATATCCAAAGGGCGGCGATCAAACAAGATCTGATTAGACCAACCTTGGACAAGGTTTCAGCGCCGCCAATAGTAGTCAAGAAGGTTCCAGGTAAGTGGAACAACATTTCGAATTTTACATTTTACAAACTTAAGCTGATTGGTTAAATGTTTCCAAGCTAAACGCCAACCTGCGAAAAAACCTATAGCAGCACCTGCAAAGAAGGGAGCCGCAGTTCCTTCGAAAAAGGCTACAGTGGTTGACGCAGGGGAAACTGCCACTGTGAGGAAACCTAGTAAGTTAAATACTTTTCGTTTCTGATTATAATGAACAGGGCTAAGTCAGTCTTTTGCGGTTTTTCAAAGCCAAACGCAACCCGCCGCAGAAAGCTAAGGTCGAAGCCAAGGCCAGAAATTCTAAATGGAAAGGCTGGGCATTAGTCAAAGAGCAGCCGCCCTCCATCGAGGACGCTGATGTATCGGAGGTTAATGCCACAGGAAAGAGGAGACGACGTGTGTGACTTGGTAATAAGGTTTCTTTGATCTCTTTTGTCTTTTTTGATAGTCGGTGTAGAAATGTTATTCTGGCAGTGTAAAATTCTGCATGAAATGCATTTTTGCACTGTGTTTGTTTACACCGGAATGAGACGGTGTAATGTGTCTCGGTGTAAAATTCTTTTTTTGGCGGCATTTCTGGTTTTTTACACTGATATTTTTTACACCGGGATTTACGGTGTAAAAGTTGCTGTGTAAAATTGCATGTTGAGGTGGGGCTCCATGTTTTTACACCGAGTCTTTTACACAGGGATATTTTGCACAGAAAAAAAGAACAAAATGTTGGTATAAAATTCTAAATTGAGGGCCTTTTTTCGAATTTTACACAGGAATTGTTTTACACCGGGAAAGTCGGTGTAAAGTAGTCAGTGTAAAATTCTACCTCCCCCTAGTTTGTGAAGCAGAACAGCAAATTATGCTAGGATAACCTATTCCACGCTCTCACGCTTCCTGTTGAAAGCCATGTAAAACATGTTTTGTTCCACTTACCTCACTGCTCCTTGTCTACCCTATTTGCTTACCCGCAACTGTTTGAGTGGATTGAAATGATGATCAGGTACTGTTTACCCAAGCTTGCATCGATTGAACATTGTTTCAAGCGGCGAGTTCAATCTCATAAATCACGGAATGGTGCTAAATGTACAAACTCGTTACAGGCAAAGGCTTTACAAGCGGTGGTAACAACTGGTGACAAACGTGGATACAACTTAGTATACCGGTTGGACATCCACCGACGTACATGCATAGGGCGGCACGAAGATCTGCTAAAGATTTTGAACACTATTGTAAAAGGTCTGCAGTGTATGTAAGGAGGAGGATATATGGATAGAATCGTGTAAACAATGATAAAGCATGTGGGGCTGTGTATTGGGGAAGTGTGTACAATGTCTTGATATAGAGCACTGCTGGAATGATAGCAGATAGGCAAGGCGACGGGGCATGGTCATTAAGAGGTAATAATTCAGGCGGGGGCAGCATGGACAGGGTGTTGGGTCAAGTTAAACGTTGGGCTTCAGGAGACAACGACATTAGGGACTGGGCGAAGCTCTGCAAAATTGCAATTCAACCGTAGTTGAAAGCGAGTTGCAAACAGCTAAGCCACTGTTCAATCAATATGAAATTTCCTTATTTTTTTTAGTAAGCTTTATGGCACTAAAAAAAATAGGGTGGCGCACAGGCATGACCCTCCCTAAGACGAGCTGTCTATTCAAAATTTCCCCCCCCACCTCAGCCAAAAGCCTATGGCAGAACGCTTCTGGATAGCCTGATATACCTTTCACAGGTTGCTCTCGCTCTGGTTTTGGTGAAATCATCTGACAGTCGGGTCTCTTGGGCTTGTAGGAGTAATCCTGACACCTCCTGTTTGCATAAATCGCTTCGGTCGACTTCCAGGGGATTCATGCGCTTATTGAGGTGGCTAAATCCTCTGTCGGTCGAAACCTCGCCCAGTCCCTATTGTCAGAGTGTCAAGGCGTTTTTTTTAAACGAACGACCTTTTGATTTATTATTATAGTAATTATAATTATAGTAGAAATAGAAAAATAGATACCCTCAGGATAGTCTCAGCGGGTCTCAGTCTCAGGAAAAGACCGATACGGTTACGCTCCCTCTTCGAGGGCGCGGCGAACGCGCTCGTGAAGGGATTTTCTAACAACGAGTTCATCACAACAAGGATGGTATGTGTACAGGGCTTCCGCTTTCCAGGGTCCTCCCTTGTTTGACGCCTCGCCGCCGCCACGAGGGACTCCATTGAGTTTATTCACATGCACAATCCTCCGATTCTCATTCCTCAGGCAGCATTGTGGAGAAAACAAGAGAAAATATCAGGGATGCAGGATTTCAATTTTTCCAGTCATATCATATATAAATCCTTGTATGACTGCCACGAATCGAGATACACATACTCCCAATTCTTACTCTTCTCTTTGAAAAAAATGCTACAATTCTGTCTAAAGATCTCCTCTATACTCTTGTTCTTGTGGATTCATAGTCTAAAGGTGGCGATCGTAGATGCTCGAACTCTGGCGTGTAACATAGGGTTCTCTAGGAACCCCGATCGCAGTGCAAGTATGTGATCTCATTTCAATATTCTTAGCCGTGTAACTCCACCATGTCCCGCCCGTCATCTTAACGTTGATATGTTTCGTGATCCCTCACATTGAAAGAATGCACGACCTTTGAGGATGCCTCAGTTGCATACAAGTGTGATTATGCGACATGCTGGAATCAAGGTGAGTGTTTCCCAATTACATTGCCATAATCTCATCCTGAAGATGATCTTGGACTTCTATCCTATGTCTGATGTTAGGCCATCAGTGGGTTCTGCAAACTGGCTGTCAATTGGTCGGAAGCGGCATTAAGGGAACAAGCCAGCAACACTGTTCCGAATACTATGACAATGGCTCCAATATGAGTCAGTACCTTGAGTCTTGAGCCTTTCGGTCCTCATGAAGCGTCTGAATTGAACTGTTTTCTTTGCCGGCGAATCTTTGATATTTATAAGGTTGTAAAAATCCCTCAGGTGTACCTTACACATGCGGTATTGGTAGTAATTGGATGCGTCAGTCATTTTTTGCCATCCATCAAAAGCTTACTTAACTGACATAAGTTTGTTCTCGTTTAGATTGTGACGCTTCAACTTGCAAGACGTCATAGATCCAGCAAAAGAGCAAAAGAAGGAATGCTTTGACATCTCGTTAGGTGTGTCACTTCAACGGACCAGTAGGAAACTTGAATTCTTCGAGAATCGTGCGATCAATATGTTTTCTTGCAAAAGTTCCGGTATCATGACTCACGCGAATCGGCCAACTCTTTGACTCTGTCAGGATCTGTGTCAATCATTTGCTGATCAATACCCTGCCATCTATCTTGTTGACGGTTGTTTCACATTGCCTTGATATCTTTCTTCTAAAACTTGTTCTAGTCATTAATTAACACAACATTCTGGACTATTTCAATTCAATTCACAAAGTCTTGTTTGTCTCTCGTGCCATTCCGCGATTCGGGGCTTATCTCTAAGATGCTCTTGACTCTCACAGCCCGATTACTACCATCTCTGAGCATGGGCTCAAGTTACGTTGATTATACATTTGGAGAAAGTTAGTCGAGATGAGGGCATCCAAATACTTGAAGAATACTTTTAGAGCATATGCCGTCAGAGGGTAATTGAACAAAGAAGCTCTGGCCCTTTTTGGGAGCGCGGCAAACATGCTTGTGTGGGGCTTCATTAAGCTTCCAAGTAATATGTATCAAGGCTCCACTTTTCCACTGGGCCTCGGAGGGGCCAAGTGGGAGGGGCTGTTCTTATCTGAAAGATAAGAACAAGCTATGGAGCTAATTTGAAGCCATCTCACTTTTCACTCAGATAACCATCCTCAGAGTCATACTCCTTTTTGTAACTCACTACAGATTCCATATCTCTGTCACTCACGGTAAAAGTTGGCTTGTATGGATCCTTACATCTGCATTGAGTCTATGGTGGCCAAATCACATATCTGCAAACATCAAATAGCAGGAACCTCTTTCATGCCTCAGGCATATCGGCAATGGCCTTGCTGTGCTTTTTGATGGATATTGAAGTGGGAATTTAAATCTTCACGTAGCTTCATCTTTTGGTGAAAAATCTTGCACGTAAGTTTAGCATGAAAAATTCGGAGAATAGAACATCTCATAAATGATGTAGTAATTTTTTGATACCCTCTTCATCACTAAACAAACATATGCATAATGATTACATTTGTTGAATTATCTTATACGCAGGTGAAACATAGGAGACTTTTCTATGGAAAAATTGATCAACGAAAACATCTCAATTAGGTCTAAGAACAGGAATCTTTTGGCCATCCGGAGTTTTCCGACAAGCGTCACCCAAGATACAAGTGATTTGAGTATCTTGATGAAATACTAAAGCTCCACCCACACGAGGTTCAAAGAGACAATCCATAAACCGTTCATAACAACTAACATAATCTGGTCCAGGGTTTGATTTTAAGAAGGATTGATGCAACGCCTTGACTTTTTTGAAATAATTTGGATCAGACTTATTTAGGTGTTGGAGCTCAGAGGATTCTATCTGTGCAGCGATTGTGGAGGGTAAGAAGCCGTAGACCTGGAAGTCATAATCATAGGATTTTGATGTAAAATTTTAGCTTGGTTCTTGTTTGAAACAGTTCATTCCAACAGATCAGAACATTTACTGACTTGTTGAGTATAGCCGTAGATGATTTCGCGGGCTGAGGCTGGTGGTCCATCAGGCTATTTATGACAAGGAGCAGGGGATCAATCGAAGCCGTAAGTGGGCTATACTCACCTTCCAAACATCGACACATATGAAAATAGAAAGAGAGCGCTAACCTTTTGAAGACAGAGCGCGGCAGATGCTGTGCGAGCTGCACTTGCAGGATCAGGAATTGCTATAATGGTATCAAGACAATCTGCGATTTTGTAAGCGTATGTCACCTATCCCAAAGCCAATAAAACGCAACAAGACATTTTCAACTATAGTGAGTATGACCATCGGAAAACATGACGGTCTCATGAAATGAGATTCGAACCTGATTTCCAGAATTAGAGGCTACAATTGACCGAATTGTAGCTGTGATGGCTTGACGGAAGAACAAATCTTGAGGGAATTTAGATATCTTAGCCGCAAGGTAGCTTGCGGATATCTCATGAATTGACTCTAATAAGTTTGGGATCACGTAACCAACAAACTGTGATAATGATATGCCATTGAAAAAACAAGAGTGAAATCAGATCAGTCGAGGCCATAACAAACAATTTCTGAGGGTAAGTGAGAAATCACCTGATTAGTTATTGAAAGATATAAAGTCTTCAGATCACGATAAACAGAACTAGACTTATCGATGTCCCGATTGCATTCTTCAGTCTTCTTGAGACGTTCGGCATAAGTGATAGAAGAATAAGCTGTCTCCATAAAACATTGCTGAGCATCGTTGAGAGCTTGTACCAGTTCGCCACTAACTGAACTTTGAACGCTTCTGATGGCTTGATCAATTGAATCGTAAAAGGCTGCTTCACCTGGGATGACCGTTTTGAAACTTGGATTTAATGCTTTTGTGGTAAGACTGAGGATGTTTTTAGGAATGATGCCTCCACCATAGTTCTTGAGTACGCTGTCCATGATCTGTATATACCGCGATATGCGATTTTGTTTTGAAAATGGTCGCAGAGGATTTAATAAAGAGCCCTTCCGAAACAAAGGGTGAAGAGTCATTCAGCTCACGTCGGAAACACCAGTGACAGACATTCCATTCTATAGCCCCAAAAGCATGCGTTAGTTCCACAATAAATGATCAAAAATCAACAGAAGAGGCATCAACCTCTAAAGATTGGTTTTTGAACTTACCACTACACAGCTCTCTCCATCATGCAAACCACCTTGCTGAACTAGTTGAGTAAGGCAATTCTTTAGATCCATAAACCGCAAGGCGCCATCAGTTGAAGATAAGAGTCGATCAGTGACTTCATTGACGCTTTCTAGAGTCTCATTTATCGAATTGGACATTGACTGGAGTCGATCAGTTGAGGGACTGGTCGAATTGGTTCCTATGCCTTGATCTAGATGATATGACAGGGCTATAGTCCCAGAAAGTCCGATAAAGATAAGTTCAGAACTGTTGTTTGTGAAAAAGTCTTGTAGGTTTGGCTACAAGCTCAATAGAAACATTCATACCTCCTTTGACAACTTCTTGAAATAAACGTGCGGTTTCTTCGGCAGATTGTGTTGTGGAGTTGAATGAAAAGGAAGATGAGTTTCTAGCTTGGATGATAGATGCAAATGCGTCGATAACAGCATGCGCATCTTTCTTCAATTGTAAGGCTGGAGCTGATGCTGAGAATTGAAATAAGTCTGTAGAATTTAAGTCAGGTTTATTATTATCTTCTGTTGATGATGATCTTGTTATTGATAATATTGAAGCAAATGTGACAATAATGATCAGTGATCTGAATCTAAGCATATTTGAGTTTCTTTTTGTTTTTTTTGTAAAAGAAGGTTGATGTCTATTCTGACAAGAATGTGTTCCAAATGAGTGAAGTTCAATCGATTAGTGAGATACAATGATGGTTTCGTTTTCTTCTTGTTTTTCCAATATGTTTATCAAAGGGTTTGGGTATCGAAAATAAAGTATTACTCGAAGGTAAGCTCTACATGAATTATGTTCAAATGAGAGGAGTGACGAAGCTGCAAGACAAACAAATGAAAGAAGTCTTTGGGAGTTGGAATATCTATATGAAGTTTGATTGTGAAACGTATAAGGGGCTGTGACGCGTTCCAGCTTGTCCCAACTCGCAGTGGAAGCTCGTCTGTTGCCACAGTTGTCTTTTGATAACATGCAGCAGAACTCATTTCGGTCACACGGGATCTTTAACATTTGGGTGGTGCTTTGCCGACGATGATGATCAGGGAACCACTGTCTGGATGAAAGCAGCGCGATCCTAGGCTGGCTTCTGTGTCATAGCCAGGTGAGTTCCCTGATTTACGTACATATGTCTTCTGCTCAGCCTACCCGCGAACTCAAGAGTCGATTTGTTTGTTTAGATGCACGCGAACTCAATCATTTCCCATTTGGCCTTCGATATCGGCGATTTATTATTACGCCATCAATCAGTGTGAAGCAGATCTTCATTGGATTTTTCAAATGTCCCATGTCTAGAAGTTGAACCAGATGATCTCATGCCTCTGAAGGTTGACTGTAATTCCAATACTGCAATCCTATCTGCTTCAAGGGTATCAGGCTGCCAACATCTTTTGAAGATATTGAGTGAGAACATTGGTGGATTCCCGAGGTGCTAGATCCTCTCAGGAAAGAAGCACAACGGCTACACCGAATCTTCAAAAACGACAAATCAGAAGAAAACAAGACAAACTACAAGAAAGCACGAAACATATTCAACAAGAAAGTCGACAAGATGAAAGAAAACAGCTGGAAGATTTACTTGTCAACATTAACTCATGATACGCTATTCCAAGCAAAAAGGTTTGCATCAGGAAGAAAACCGTCAGCGCTGGTCAACACCTTGATTTCAAACTCAGGTAATGTATGCTCAACAAACGAGGAGAAAGCTAAACTTCTCTTTCAGACAACGTGTGTGGCAACTGCCCCCTGTCGAATAGCCGAGTCTGAAATCCTCAGCTTCCCAATCAGCCCAGAAAACCGAACATCAGAACAAAGCATGCCAGACTTCTTCAGTTATCTGACTGAGGAAAACATCAAATCGGTCATAACGAGCGTTCCGCCACTCAAGGCACCGGGAGCCGATATGCTCCAAAATTGGGTTTGGTGTAAAGTGTGGCAACAAGCTAAAGCTCAAATACGCTCACTATTTCTACAAATCACAGAAACCGGGTTGATACCTCAAGATTGGAAGCAGGCCCGTACCATCATGTTACCCAAACCAGGGAAGCCAGACTATACAGCAGCCTCAGCGTATAGACCAATAGCGCTCTTGCTGACATTAAGTAAGATCTACGAAAAATTATTGACTAAACATCTCTCAGAACAGGTGGAGAGAAAACGATTACTCCATGAAGGTCACTACGGTGGTAGACCAAATAAATCAGGACACGAGGCTCTTACACACCTGGTTTCCTGGATACGAAAAGAATGGACAAGAGGTAATGTGGTAGGTGCACTCTTTGCTGATGTAAAATCAGCGTTCCCATCAGTGCACCACCCCAGACTACTCGCCATCCTCGAAAGAAAAGGTTTTCATGACCAAACACTCAATCTAATTCACAACTTCCTCGACAACCGCTCAACAACCTTATCATTCAATGGATTTGAGTCAGAGCCCTTCAAGCTAACGCACGGACTCCCACAAGGATCTCCGCTTTCACCTCTCATGTACCTCTTATACAACAACGGCTTATTAGAAACAACAGATAGCATCAATAATGCATCCGCCTTGGGTTTTATTGATGACGTAGTTCTTCTTACCACAGCATCCGACAAACACCGACTACGATCTCAAATGCAAACATTAGCTTACCGGCAGAACGTCTGGGCCCAAGACCATGGGGCTATCTTCGACACAAAAAAGACCTTTGGGGTCATTTTCAATCCCAAAGAAATTGAAGACCCGCCAACAATCAGCTTCGCCAACAGAAAACAAATCCTACCAGAGGAAAAAGCGAAGTGGTTAGGTATAATCATTGATAATAAACTAACCTTTAACCAACACAGGAGCGCAGTACTGGCAAAAGGCCGACAAAGAGCAGGCTTCCTAGCAACTCTTTCGAAAGCAGAGTGGGGTATATCACCACGCCTGATGAACACGCTAATAACGACCACAATTCATACAGCTCTCGATTACGGGGTAGCGGCATGGTTACCTTTTGAACCACCAAAATACTTCATCAAGGACTTAACCACGATAGACAACATTTGCGCAAGGGCTGCATTGGGAGCCTTACCATCAACACCAGGGGTTTTCCTCAAACACGACGCCAACCTTATTCCGCCAGGCATAAGAATCCAGAGTAAGATCATGAATTTTATGGCGACATCGCTAACAAAACCTCCACATTCGCCCATCTACAGTTTTGTCAAACAGGCGCAAAACTCAAACCCAAGATGCCACCACAACCCTTTTCACAGGTTCTTCCAACACGCGATCAGCAAGGAATTGTCCGAGTTCATTCAACAAATCCCGCTCGACCCAACTGACATACTGACAAGACCGTCTAACTACACGACTATTATACAAGAAAATGAAACAATAGCTAAGACAGAAGCTAACAAACTAACTGACACAATAGAACATGTAGTGATTTTCACTGATGGTTCTAGAATTCCGAAAGGCACAACCGCAGCAGCAGCGTGGTGCAAAAACACGAAAAAGTCGACTTCTGAACACCTAGGAACGGCACGAATGCACGGGATTTACCAGGCAGAATACAGAGGAGTCCAAATGGGACTCACAATGGCGTTACAAACGGCTTTGGTCCACACACGGAGGACAACCATATTACTCGATAACCAAAGCGTTATAAAGGATTTAAGATCCAATAAACTTCCTATTACCACTCTTGACGACAGAAAAGAAACTTACAAACTGATGACTTACCTACACAGGACTTTCCCGAACATGAGAATCACGATACGATGGTGCCCTGGTCATGTGGGAGTATACGGAAACAAAATAGTGGACGAAATCGCCAACAACAAGGCAAGGAAGAAATTACCTAGCACATTCAAAGCAAAACCAACAGCCGCTAGTTTCATTTCCGCAATCAAGGAATGGAAAACATCAAACTCAGATATCACCGAACCGCCCGAGCTGAAGAGGCTCGGCCACCAACCACAACAAAAATCACACCTCAAACACCTATCAAACCTCAACAAACATCAAATTAGCACAATCACGAAACTCAGGTCAGGACATATTGAATTGAATCAGTACCTGAACAAATTTGGACAGATCCACGACCCAAGCTGTGAATGCCAAGAAGGCATTGAGTCAGTAGAACACTTTTTATTCACATGCAGAAAGTTCATCGAAGAACGAAAGAAATTTGAAGAAGAGCTGAAGAAACTCGAACTCAAAAGCAACACCTCAATCTTACACAAACCTATTGCTTATAAAGCCATCGCGCAATATTGCGATGATACCTGGAGACTGAAAAGTCGCTGGAGCTGGGCAACAATCAACAACAAAACCACGCCAACACAAAGGCAACAACCAAGAGAATAAGTTTTTCAATTTCCATCCTTTAGCGCCGTACATTATAAAAACCACATATGTAAAATAGATGAAACAGCCAACAGCAACCCTTTCCCCTGACACAGCCAGAGGGGTTTTACCGGTGCTGGACATAGTAGATAGTGTTTGATAGCCTAGCGGCTCCAAAACACTTTAAGCAATGCATAAAAAAAAAAAAAAAAAATCGCAATGGTCGCTTGAGTGGCCAAGAAGTGTTTTGCAATTGTAACCTAACAGCTTTGGCCTCCTGCGCTGAGTACCATGCCAGCAGAGCACTCAAGGTCAAATTTTAAGTTTAAAACACTAAAGCCATCTCGTTCAGACAAACAATCGACGTCATTTCTACGTATCTTTCTCATCACCTGGTCCTGTTAACGATTTGGTCAACAGCTCTTAACCTTGAACTCTTGAAACTCTTTCCTTAACTTCCTTCTCTCTTTCAATCAGCAGCTTCCTTCGCCATCAACCCTTTATTAATCAAACATATCAGATCTATCCATTTGATTCATAAGAGTGAGTCACGATTGTGATCTTAGATCACGTCATGTCGACTGTTTACCCTTATCGAGCTCGGGCGATGATGAGGTTCAAGGCTCAGGATGGTCAGTTCGTTTTATCGCCGGATCAAATTGTCACTGTTACTGCTACAACAGACGAAGATGGAGATTGGGTTAATGTCGAAAATGAAGAGGGACAATCGGGATCTGTGCCATCCGGGTTTCTGGTTGCGATCGAAGGTCAGGTCAAGGAAGCTGGCGAGACGGACCAGCCTGCTAGTACACCAGTTGTCGAATCATCCTTGAGATCTGTCGAGCTTCCCTCAAGTACCACGTCAGCTCCAGCTCCTTCTCGTAAGTATTATCAGTCACATCCATTTAGTGTTTTTGAAACCACAGTGGCTTACAAGTGTCTTTCGATGACGACGTTCTGGCAGAGCCTGAGGCGGTGCTTAGCAATCCTTCGAAGCCTTCTACTGAGATGGAAGCCACAGACGCAACCTCTGTCGAACCGTCTTCCGTTCCATCAAATGCAGGATCAACAGACCCACCGGTCAGTGCTCAAACCCCATCAAAGCCAGAAGAGATCACTGCGACTGCGTCAACTTTGCCACCCCCACCCCCACCTACAAAACCCAATGCTCTTCGTGATAGAATAGCAATGTTCAACAAAGCCCCCTCGGCCGCCCAGCCTGCTGCACCTGGTTCTCTCCGTCCCAAACCTCCCTTAGCTCGAAAACCAATGAATATGTCTCCTCCAGCTCCTCCAGTAGTCGTAAGCGACGGAAAAGAAGACAATTCTACTACAGCTGAAGGAAATTCATCTCATTCCAATGCACCCGCCGGGATGTCTGCAGCAGACGCTGAAGAATCCGTCCGCGCTGGAGGTTCACTGAAAGATCGCATCAGACTTTTGCAACAACAGCAACAAGCAAGTGAGGCTTCTGAAGTAACACCCTCGGCGGCTCCCAAACCAAAACGTGAATGGAAACGACCAGTAGCGCCTCCATCAACTGACGACCTACCTCCTATCCTGGGGATGAAGCCACCGATGCCGGCTCGTCTTCCCTCCAAAGAATCTGATATCAACGAACCAGGCAACGAACCAGGCGCACCTGCCGATTTGTCTCCCAAACCCTTGCCGATCTCCACGACAATCCCAGACGAATCTTTGGTAGGGGATCCAGAAGAAGAAGAGGAGGACATCGCACGGCGACGGAGGATAGCGGAGCGGATGGCTAAGCTTGGTGGAGCCAAGATGGGTTTTGGTATCCCAGGTCCTGCGTTAGGTAGCAAGCCACCGCTCCCACCGAAAAGTGCACAAGGAAATGTGTCAGAACCTAATGAAGATAATTCCAACACAATCATTGAGACCGCTTTACCTCCTGATAGAATCGCAATACCGGCTATGCCTAAGAGAGCGGGACCACCTCGACGAAAGCCTCCTGCGACAAAACCGGCAGAGCCTGCTGTGGTTCAAACTGAACCCGCACAAATCGAAGGATCCCAAACCGAGGAGGCCGCAGGCCCATCACTAGTGGACACATCTGACCAGCCTGTCATAGATACTGCAGAAACAACGTCAGTCGATACATTACAGTCGACTACTGTAGGTGCGAACGGCGAATTTGAGGTCCCAGAGGGTGCGTTGGACGATGCCATCTCCACTTCCCATCCGACTTCTCAATCCTTGGATGTCAAGCAAGAAACTGCTTTACAACACTACAGCGAAGATGAAGAGGCCTCACTGAATCTTGGAGAAGCCTCGGGACCCATCGATGCCTCGTTGGACACACCGCGTCGTGTACCGGAAGACTCCTCTGCCGAGTCTACTCATGTTCACAGCCCGGATAATCACGAAGGTGGCACCCCTGCTCTCGGCATGCCAACACCTCACGTTCCACCACCACATAGCCCCGTGCTCAGCTCCGACTCACAGGCACTTGACGCCGACCCACCGCAGGATATCTCGAGACCAGTTGACGATGATGAAACACGAGAGAATGTGATATCTGCTGAAAGATCTGCACCTCTATCACTCGATTCAGATGACGTTGATGATTCCCATGAAGATAAAAATCTCGAAGCGGAAGATGCAGAAGTTATTGAACGCAAGGAGGAAGTACGACCACCCACAGACAGCACGCATGCAACTCAGTCACGAGACGTCGATCAGCCTCCCCTCGAGCACACACCAAGACCTCCCTTACCTCAAGCCCCAGCACCAATGTTCAATCAACCAATAGTGGCCTCAACGGACGAAGATGACACGCCTGACGTTGAACATCGTCAGTCTTTCGCCAAGAAAATGGCTGCGATCGGAGGACGACCTATGCTGCCACCGATTTCTCCGCGAGGAGAGTTAAGACGTCCATCGGGACCCCGTGAACCAAAGTCGCCCTTAAAGGGTGTACCAATCGATGAGTTATCACCAGCGCATGGTAGGTGATTATTTTTAACTTCATGTTATAGCATTTTCGCTCACTGAGGTTAAATCCTTTCTCTCCATAGGCGGTTCGGATAACGAACTCTTGACTCAGAAAGCACCCCCTCAATCACAATTGCCACCCATACCTAGCTCCCGACCATTGCCACAACCGGACCTGAGCTCATCCAGAACAGCAGCAGACCCTACACGTCCAGAGTTGACAGCTGAAAGACCAGACAGCCTTGACGACTCTCCAATTGTGGAACCATCTGTTACCGAGCCCGTGTCTTCGGCAGACCATCAAGAAGATGAGGAAGACGAGGACGAGGAAAGTGCCCGGAGAAGAAGGTTGGCTGAAAGAATGGCCAAAATGGGGGGCCGATCGATGATGGGGGGAATGATGCCCATGTTCTCAAACAGCCCCAGTGCAGCGCGTAAACCTGCAACTGCTAGTCAGTCCGGTAGTCATCCTCTACCTAGTGTACCGCTGAATTTGGCCTCAACGCCACCTATACCTTCGTCCCGACCGCTACCCCCGCCACCCAGTGGTTTGATTACACCGTCTTCTGAGGGGCGTGCAACATCACCCATCAGTGTTCCATCACCTCCACGCAGAGCTGCCCCTTCACCTATGTATAGAGCGCCCAGCTCTGGCTTGGGTCAATCAGGTGACGATTTTTCAAGATCTCCGATCGAATCATCGCCAACCATGCCTTCTTCGCCACCACCGCTTTCTCCCGCTGGAAGGCCCAAGGTTCCGACGGCTTATCAAAATCCTACCAAGCGAGCTAGCACCCTCAGTCAGCCAGGACACACATGGTCACATGTAGATGAGCCTAGATCGATGCACCAGCAAGACGTGGAAGAAGAAGAAGATTATCTTCCGCTGTCCGACAATGATGAATGTGGCCCCCCTCCCATTCCACCTCCACGCCCACCACCTGTTTCGGGCATGTCGATGGGCTCTCCCAAGCCACCGACGATAGTATCGGATGATCCTTCGCGGTCATCTATTGACTCTGACCGGAGTAGTAATCCACGATCGAGTATGACCGAAAGGGACAGAGTCATCTCCGGATCGCCTCGCATGTCAAGCACGAACACATCTGGAGAAGGTATCCGAAAAGTATCTCACAACTCTCAATTTACACACAAAGCTCGTGATCTGGACCTCGCTTCTGAGCGATGGTGGAGGACTAAACCAGTATCTGTGCCGTCGAGCGTTCAGAGCATGAAGGACGTGCTGGTCCGTTTGCAAGGATCATCCACTCTTCAAAAGGGAGTGTCTACCTACGACTACGAACTGATCGTTATACGTGATGATTATTCAAAGACGGTTGTGCGCATCCATTTCGAAGATGGCGACGAATCGGCTACTGAGATGACACAAACTCATTACCCTCCCCCTCAGCCATACCCTATCTCGACCTTACAAGAGTTAAACGCATCCATCGGACCTCAACTAGTGGCACGTGCGAAGGCTAAGGAAGATGAGAAAGGAGTAAAGTTTGTAGGAGCAGAAGAAGATGGAAAGACATTTGTAGGGATGATCGTGAAGTCTGTTGGAGCGGCATTAGAACCGGTTGGCGAGACATTTGGGGAAGTGATTTACAAATGCGAAATTCAGGATTTCAAGGCAGCGCATCCAGAAGTAGACGTGAAGGACGATATCAGACCGGTATGTCTGAGATATTCTTTCTAGTGATGAGCTTGACATAAGAAAGTCGCAGTTGAAAATGAAGTTATCCGTGCTCATTTCAAATTATATTGCATCTTATGTAGGGAGATATTGTAGCGTCATACGGCGCTTCATTCAAAGGTAAAGGTATCGGACACGGTTCAATGAATTTGGGAACAGTCACAAATGCTCATGTGGCTATCGTTGCTGAACATGACGTGAAGAAAAACAAGTTTAAGGCTTATGGAGTTTGGCACGGGAAAGTGGAATTGATCTCATATCGGTGAGTGTTGATTGATAGATTCATATTGGAAAGGTTTCATTCACGAAGAAGTAACTGATTCAGTTGATTTAATTCATTTTTTGATAATCTACCTTACCATCATCGTAGAATTGATGAATTGAAGAGCGGGTCGATCAAAGTGTTCAGAGTATTAGATAAAAAGTTTTTGGAAAATTGACCAAAAATAATTGATGTTTGGTTATGTTTATGTATAAGTCTGATTTGATAACACATGAGAGACGTTTATTTTTACTTTGATTTTATTTCCCTTGAGATCATCATCATCTATTCATCCATCTTTCTTTTTGATCATTCTAGTTTTGTTTTTCTGTCTCTCTCCAAGTATGAAGAGATTTTAGAATCCTATTTATCAATTTTCAAATTAACTCAAATGCAAATGAACGTTTTGTGGTATTTGGTATTTATTCAATTTGCTTTATCATTACATGCGCTTAGTCAATGTTACATTTTTTGTCAAGTACAGTTTCTTTTTCTTTTGCAATGTGATTCAAGTTCTCCTTTCCTCTCATTTTGGTATCTTCTATGGTGTTTGGAATGTCTCAATCAACTGTGAGATAAATTTTTGGCCTCACTGATGGAGAAGGTTGCAAAGCACTAATAATTGTATTGTTGAACTATTTTTATCAAAAATGCAACCAATGTTGACTTTGATCAATAACTTTTGTTCCTTTTTCCTTGTATTTTTATCAAATATTAATTGCCGTAATTTTCCTCCTCACTGATGAAGAAGGCTGCAACTCACTACGAACTGTATTGCTTATTTTTTGTTGTCAAAAATTACGTTCTATGATATCTATAAATATGCTGTGTGTAAAAATGATGAAAAATTTAAAGCCCTTGAAGCCAGATTATTCCAAGGCCGATGGAACAGGCAAGCGCTGTGAAGCAGAGCAAACGCAAGCTTGACGTGGTTGCTTGTTGGGCTTAACAAAGGATCACACCATCATCAATATTCATCAAGTTACTTTGATTTTTCATTAAATTGCTTTGATTAATCATCAGAGAACTTTGATTGTTTGATGGATTATGATACACTATGGTCCAAAACCGATGTAATTGGGATATAATTAGACCAGATGTTCCAGAGACAAAGATTTGTTGATTCTGAAAGCGTCCATAGTAAACATGATCCCATTGATACAATGTAGATATCGGTGGTACGTTTCAACAATGCGCTTCTTGTCGTCTTTGAGCAGCAACGATACATAATTGTTACATACAGTCAAACCTGCGCTAATGCATAAATTGGGGAGACAATTTTTGCTATGCATTATTGTGGGTTATGCATATAGGCATAAACCCCCATAATGCATATTTGTATGCATTTAGGCCTAAATGCATTGAAATATGCATTATGACCGGTTTTTGTTGAAATTGTGTAAGTTTATGCAATAGTACGTTTGTATTTTGCACAGGTACAAGGACAAGATATTTTTTCGACGCAGGAAAAAACACCACTAGGGGTTGGTTTGACCCCATAGAGGGCTCATTGGTGCCTGATGTTGCCAAAATTCTACTTGCAAAGGATTCGATCAGAGTTCAATGGAAAAAATACACATCCTGGGGCGCTTTGTAGGCATGCATTATGACTTTGGGGACTTGAAAAGAAGTATGCATTATGGTTTTTGACATAATTATGCAATTAATGACAAAATTGGCCGGCACCAGCTGGGTGGAAAACAAAACTTATGCATTTTGGCTGGTTATGCATGTGCGCGGGTATGCATGTGCGCGGGTTTGACTGTAACCAATTTGTATGCTCTGCGCATCCAAGATGTAAGTCCTACATTCCCAGAATGTTTCCTGGTATTATATATTGCCGATAAAGTTCTGAGTTCCTCAGTACGCTGAGGATATGTACCAGCTACATCCGTCAAACATAACCCCCAGCCAGCATTTGGCCGGTATTTTTTTCAATTTTTCAATTTTTGGCTTTTTGGTTTGATTGTGATTGTTTTCAATTTTCTCTTATACGGCAGGTTGCATCCACTTCTTTGTAACAATGATTTGCAAACATAGTGATAGGTCACAAATAGAGGCAAGGGAAATAAAACATCTTTCTGTGAAGTATTCTGTAAGCTATAAATTTGGTTGGTACATAGATGACAAATACATTGACAACATGATGATTCAGAACATATTACTCTGAGACAAATTCATTGTGTGACTTTTAAAGTGCAAGTGCAAGCCACATCAAAGTACATGGATGGAATCCGTTGCTATAAGCAGCTTGTGGTATCTAAACGGGGGTGGATTTTGATCAGGAACAATTGATCGAACCGGCAAGTTGGCATTTGTATGTGATAACCGATCATTGTGAGCAAGATTGACTATAGTATGAGAAAAAAAAGTTGAGGCACAGGGGCCAAAATAGATACTCACATACATGTGAGCATTGTAGACTTTCTGGAATTCTCCAAAAAAGATTTGTTTTCTTTCAGATTGATTCAATTCAAAATCTTGGTTGTGTTCCGGTGATCAGCCTGTGGTGCTCATATTTTACTTGACATTTGTTGAGAAGGCTCATTTCCATCTTGGATGAGCAATAACTGATTTCCGATGAGTACTCAGGATCAGCTCATGGGTCACTGAATACTCAGCAATTTGTTCAAAATGAAGATGAGCACATGAACTATAACTTCCTGAGGCTTCATTTTTCAGTGAAGAAGCCTGCACAGGGGCGTCCCATTTGAGCTGCTCAGCAAATACTCAGTAGCATCCCCTGACTGGCTCACTGATGGGCCAGACTTCCCTCAGACTTCCTTGCTAAGGAATGAAGCCTGATAGAAGTGCCATCCCATCTGCTCAGTTTATCTCAGTTGCTCAGCTAATCCTCAGTGATATCCCTGGATAAAGTTTTTCACACCGAGGGGCTGAGATCAACTGAGCAGCCCCTCAGCCAATACTCAGTGACATCCTTTGGATCCTTCTGATCCGGCTAGGAATGCCCCTGAGGACTAGCTGAGCAGCTGAGCAGAACTGAGCAGCCCCTCAGCCAATGAGCAGTAAGTTCCTCCGGGGCATTCTGATCTCAGGAATGCCCCTGAGGAATAGCTGAGCAGCTCAGTTGAACAAGCAGACGGGCCTCAGGCTTCATTCCGGAGCCATGAAGCTTGAGGCAAGCTTGACGCTCTGTGATCCGTCTGGGGGATGCTTCAGAGACTTAGGGTTAGGGAATACTCAGTTCAGCTCAGCCCCTAAGCTATACATTAGTGGCATTCCTTGGAACTTATTGAACCAGGGAATGCCGCTCAGTATCAGCTGAGCAGATGGATCAGCCCTTCCTCAGACTTCTTTCCTCAGGAATAAAGGCTGAGGAAGGCTTGTTTGTCTGCTCAGTTCCTGATGATCAAGTAATCAGCTGACAAGCAGAAAGAAAAGGGAAACAAATTGGAAACAAATGGGAAACAAATGGGAACAAAACAGGAACATTTCAACACTCACATGGTTGTGAGCATCAATTTTTGCCCCTGTGGATTATGCCAGGTTTGATTACATCATGCTACCTGTAATTCTCTGCCTGCCCCTGCTGTGCTTTTGATGTCCCATATTACGTAACATCTTTTGATGTTTGGAATTCTTTCTTGTTGAAATGAAACACCATCAAGAGTACGTAAATTTTATGAAATTGTAAGAGAATTTATGGTCTGAATGTTGGATGGTCATGTCATCATGCTCAGTATCCACTCCCGGCCACAAGTTTTAAAATGATGGAAGGCAGTGATTTATGTAAACAAGGTTATCTGTGACTGTTGTGATACACCTTTGATTTTGTGGAGAAACATGGTGACATGCTATGTCTTGAAGAGAATGGAAGCAGTCTCAAAGATCAGTTGTACCAAGTTTGGGTGTGTCAGATGGTTATAAAGCACAACAATTTCCATGATATTTCCTCTCACTCAGACAAACTCTGGCTTTCCTCTTGAGATCAACAACGTGAATCTCAACTGGAGCTGGAGCAGCATAGAGAGAAACAAAGGAAAGGTTATTACTTTGATTTCATGCAAGAAAGCTATAAGCAAAAGTATTGAGAGAAAGAGAGAAGACAGTAAAACCAACCTGGAGCAGGGTAGAGAGAAACAAAGGAAAGGTGAAGAATAAGAAGACACCTTTCCTGATGCTGCTCCAGTGTGGTTATATAGTGAATCTAACTTAGAGAACTATCACACGGGTGAAATGTTGTGAAGCACACAAATAACAAATGAGTAGAAGTCACACATGACTGTCAGTAACAAGGGATAGTCACACAGGACTTCATTAGACATATTTGATATTATATATGAAATATTACGTAGGACTGTAAGAATATCTCAACAATTGGTTCCTGAAAGATTCATTGGCAGGAAGATCCAGAAGGATCACTCACCGTGGCAAGTCTGGAGCTCTGTCGGATTTTCTTTTGTGATTTTTCCAATTGTGGGATGTGTCTCATGGGTCTGGTAGTGCTGGCCCTGTGTGGCCTGAAGCAGTCTCACAGTGTAGGTTACGCGGAGCTGCTTCTGGCTGATAGGCCAAGGCATATGAAACGTTTGTATTGAGAGGCACCCCTGGGGAGGACCAAGTTCAAATGTAGGTCAAGAACAACCACAAAAACTAGACAACAAATGAAATGTGACACCGTCCCACTGCTTACGGGGCAACCTGCTCCCAAAAAGGAGCTCCCAGGCATGGGGAATCACTCGGTGACAAGAAACAGAGAGGGACAACAAAGATCACTGGCGGAGACATTAATTTGTAAGAATTTAAAGGAATACACCTCACCTGAAACTAAAGAAAAGGGATAAACAAACAAAGAAGTGAAATTATGGTAAAGGAAAGGATATAACATAATCATGTTTTTGTGTGTTTTTTTTTAAAAAAAATAAACAAGGCATGCGGGTGGGCAGGATTTTCAATGAACTACACCTGGCCAGAGTGACAGGGTGAGTTTTTTTGCAGAACAACTACAATGAGGCAACACTTGAAGGAGAAAGGGTAGAATTTGTGCTGGGCATACCACCAATACCTTCCCTGCTAATAACCTAACACATGACAACCTGTGGTTGGGGGAGGACATATGTGAAAATATTAGCATATCCTTCTAGCTTGCCTAATCAGAGAAGCACACATGACCCCTGCTTGCCATATCCCACTTGATTAATGAAACACCAATCCACAATACATAAAGAAATTCTCAGACAAAGAAACAAATGCTACAATTGAATTCTTAAACGCAATTAGATTAGAAAGCAAAGCTTGCGTTTTAGATTGAATTCAAAGTTTGTAATGAATGTAATGTTTCAAACACAGATCATTTCATCAGGAAACAAAACATGGTTTGGAAAGATTGGGTTTGAGACGTTGACATTTGCAGGACTACAGCATTGTTGTATGTGGGATGGTCTGCCAGGTCAGTAACGGTGTAATTGTGTCACACCAACCTTGGAGTAGGGGTAGCAGACCACCACCACTTACGGAAAGAGAAAGCCGGGGGAAAATAAAGGCCGGAAAGAGAGTTCCCAAAAACAACGATGGTTTGTAAGACCACAGTGTTGGTTTCAAAGAACCAAATGTTTGGTTCAGGTGAACCAAAGAAAGGGCTCCCTGCGGGCACTTTCCCATACTGCACTCTCCTCACCACAAGGCAAGGTAAAAGCATGGATGACAACACAAGATCCATCATGCAATACATAAAACATGAAACTCAAATGATCACCTAGAGAAGTGCATGGATTACATACATCATCCTAAATATAACCCTCTGCCTCCCGCCCACCAATCATTTGATCTCCACTCAAATTATGTACATCTTTTGATGTTTTGGATTTCCTCTGTGTGTCATGATAACACAATTGAGAGTACACAAATTCTACGGAATTGTACAAGTTCAGCTTAAAGACAGGCCTGAAACACAATTGATTATGCCAGGTTTGATTACATCATGCTACCTGTAATTCTCTGCCTGCCCCTGCTGTGCTTTTGATCTCCCAAATTACGTAACATCTTTTGATGTTTGGAATTCTTTCTTGTTGAAATGAAACACCATCAAGAGTACGTAAATTTTATGAAATTGTAAGAGAATTTATGGTCTGAATGTTGGATGGTCATGTCATCATGCTCAGTATCCACTCCCGGCCACAAGTTTTAAAATGATGGAAGGCAGTGATTTATGTAAACAAGGTTATCTGTGACTGCTGTGATACACCTTTGATGTTGCGGAGAAACATGGTGACATGCTATGTCTTGAAGAGAATGGAAGCAGTCTCAAAGATCAGTCGTACCAAGTTTGGGTGTGTCAGATGGTTATAAAAGCACAACAATTTCCATGATATTTCCTCTCACCCAGACAAACTCTGGCTTTCTCCTACATCCTGACAATCAGTGGTCCGCTCATTTTCTTATTTTTGAAGTTTTTTTGATAACTTCAAGGACTGATTAGCATCAATATTTCATCTTTTTTCTGTTTTTAAATTTGTTTAGATAAAGAAGCTCTTGATAAATCAAGTACAACCAAAATTCAACTTACTCACAATTTCTTTTTCGTATGTTCCTTGAAAAACTCTCTGTCCATGTCATGTATCTCCACTGACTTGAATGTACTATCCAGGTCAAACAAAATGAATACCATCAGCCTCATTGGAACCAGTGTGCTTATTGGCACCTTGGCAGCACCTGTTCACGCCATGGCCATTGAAGAGCGTGGCTCAACCTCTTGCTACCAACGAATTTCAAAAGAAAAACAGGTTTTGGACGATGGAGATGAGCTTGTACATTCCAGAGGCGAGGATGATTGGAGGCACCAGGACTGGTCCCCTCAAGGTTGTTGTACTAGTGATGATGTCTCAAATGATGGTTGTTGTGGTAGTGGTTGCAACATTATGTGAAAGAGACTACACAAACACAACACCTAACAACATTTGCAGATCAGGAGGAGCCCATATGTGATGAGCTGATGAAAGCATGACATATTTGGATGATCCCTGAATACATTTTCTCAATATGCCTGACTTGATTGTGATGATGATGAGTGGTGTACTTTGAACTCCTTTTGTTTCCTTCATTTGACCACTTTGTCCATGATCAGCAAAGTCATTTCCATTTGTGCTTCTGTTATTAATTATCTGCTCCATGCATCTGCTTATTGATGCATTCAATGTTTCCAAGTCCACCATGATCAAGCCTGGCTTGCAGTGCAGAGCACTGCCTTGTAGCTACTTGAGGGTCCAAAAAATGAACCCTAAACTCCTCATGGGCCTTTGGAGGGTTGTTTCTGAGTCTCAAGTTTCAACTCTGTGACTGCAGAGTACAACGTATGCCAATGAGGCCCGACCCCAAAGCCACTGTCTGAATGATCACAGATCTGAGGGTGACGGAGCTGAAGGAGTCAGACTCTATCTGCTTTGCCAAACTCTTGAAAGGTTTGATGAAGGAGAGGGGAAACTAGATATTGAAAGAGTTCAAAGTTATCAAGATGTTCTGCCTAAGATATTTCTTACCTATCTTACTCTTTTTCGCTTTCCCAACTGCTCCCTCATTTCTCCTCTTATTCTTCTTAGCCTCAATGACAACTCAACATAAACCTTGGTGTGTCATTGTGCCACATAAACCTATGATTGTAACACTAAAGGCACAACCCAGTTTCTCGGCGAAGCTGGATTAAATCCCTAATCCCTTAATAAGCTGTACACCTAAGACTCCAACCCCCTTATGTTAAGTTTATATAGATGATGTCTATTTCTTCCAGTTGTATAATTCAAGTTAAAGTGAAACCGTGTTCGCAGATAAAACTCCCATAACTCCCAAACCCTGTTAACAATTCACAGGTTTTCGCGTGCAACATAGACTTTCTGACTTGCACGTGTTCCACCCCGCTTTCTTATCTTCAAACCCTCCTCCCGTCCGAATTAACAGACATCTCAGTCTTGGCTACTTCATGAATGCAGTTGATTGCCACCATCAATCCAGACAACCTCACATAATGGATCCAATCCTCAACCTTCAACATATCATTCATCATGGATCAAGACTTCATTAATTTATTCAATGTACACTCATTTTCAAATGCCATCGGCACCACGTGTCCACCAGCTGTAAGCTCACCCGCCATGTCGCACTTTGAATCAACTCTTAATCAAACTCGGTCACCTTCCTCCGATTGGCTCGTCGCCTGGATTTAGACAGGACATCATCAAATTTAATTCAAATTGTCCAGCCAAGATGCAGATGCTCACAAAGGTAAGCAACTTCACCCGTCTTAGCAGATGTCTCTATTGCAATACAATCCATTTATTCACAGTCCTTGTTGGTTTAGTTTGAGTCCAAGTCCAATAGGGTCAAATCAATTGTTTTCCACCCCCAAGCTTACCCTTTTACTATTAGCAGCATCACTTCATTCAGGAAGTATCCAAATGTGGAACTTTCAGATGGTAACATGAGTCAAACGATTTGACAAACACGATGGTTCGTTTTGATAACTCATATAAATGAAGTAACCGTTTGATTGTGTATTGATCTTGCGACTTTCAGGTCCGGTTTGTGGGATTGCCTTTCATCCAAGTAAACCACTCTTTGTGTCAGGTGGAGATGACTACAAAACCAAGGTCAATTCATGCTTTCTAGCATTCTCAAATTCTTTTGATATTCCATTGATGCTTGAATATTGAATTTATTTGGTAGTACAGGTCTGGAATTGCAAACAACAACGGTGTTTGTTTACCTTACATGGTCATCTTGATTCCGTTCAATCAGGCTCATTTCATCGTAAACATCCATGGATCCCTTCTGCCTCTGATGACCAGACAATTTGTATATGGAATTGGCAATCTCATCAATGTAGTGCTACCTTGACCGGTCATTAGTAAGTAGTAACTCACTCATAGACTTGCGACTTCTTTGGTTATTGAGTTTGTGTTTGTCGATTTGTAGTCATTACATTATGTGTGCCAAGTGTCATCCCGAAGACAACTACACCCTATCTTGTTCAATGGACCAAACGTAAGTGTGTCATTCTATCTCTCAAAACCAATCATACTCTCTTATCATTTTCCTTAGCCTCCGTGTATGGGACATCGCCGGTCTTCAAAAGAAAACTACAATGGTTCAGCCTATGTCATTAAAAGACCAGGTCCAACATGCAAATTCAGGCCAAGCAGAACTGTTTGGTGATAAGGGTGTGGTGGTCAAATACGTCCTCAAGTGTCACGATTGTGGTGTGATTTGGGCGACTTTCCGTCCTACTTTACCAGTAATCAAAGAAGCTCTTAAGATCAATGAACAAGTTAAAGAACCAGCCATAGCAAACGGACAGGAATCTTCAACATTGATTGAACAACAAACAACCGCGGATGAAAAAGAACGAGCTGTCAAAAAGGAACAGCAAGTTCGGATATACAGAACCCACAGTCCAAAAGACAGTCACTGGAGAGGGCTCCTCTTGAATCGAATGGAGGCTCATCACGTGCCTAGGAAGTGACAAAAATGCCCAAAACACAAAATAATAGTGTTGATGTACGTGCTGATTATTGATGGTTGGCTTCAAAGCTTCTTTTTTCATTACACAGAAATCAATGGTCTGATCTCAACTCAACATAGCACATTTTCCTGAATTGATCCTTGATTTTTTGCTTTCAGAATCAGATTTTCTTCATTTGGTAAAAGATGAAGAAGAAAAAGAAAAATTCAAACCTGAAGAAGAAATAACTCAAAGGGAGAAAAGCAGGACGGAAGAACAAACAGCATCTGATCAAATCGACTCAGAAAACCATTGAGAGGTACTAGTAGGGTACTCCAAAATGATACAATTACAGAACTTAATTGAGTTATTGAGTTGAATCAGAAGAAATGATAAATGAAAAAGGTAGAATTAAAATTGAAAGAGATGAGTTGATTAAGAAATCAAAGAAATGGTTTGAAAGGAATGAAAAAGTGGAATTGAAATCGTATGGATCAAAACTTGAAGACATCAAATTAATTATCAAAAGATAAAAAATCTAAAGAGAAATTCAATTTGAAAGTGATCGAAACCAAATCAAATAATTTAAAACAATTTGAACTGATCAGAGTTAGATTGAGTTAGAAGTTTTAGAATGTGCTTGGATACCTATAGATAATTATGTGGGTGACATTAAAGCGGGTGACATCAAAGCTTTACTTGAACCTGAGTTTACTTGGTTAGATGATATGACTTATGAAGATTGGGAAAGCAAAATCTTCTTATTTTTTGTCTCTCTTTTTCCCTAAAACACCAAGAAGCTTGCTGATTTAAATATATATAGCTAATTTAGCTTATCATTTATTTTCAACTATGTCAACTAAATGTAAAGAAAGATTCAATTTTTCAGTTTAAGATGATGAAGATTCAAAAATAAATCAAGCTTTAGTAGTAAAAGTGTTTTGGAAAGCTTAAAGAGTTGTATGAAAAGGTTTTGGATAAAGGAAAATTATTTGATTTGAAATTGGATAGATCAATTTTAGATTATATTGAAAGGTTACAGAAGGAAAATGGAGATGAACTTTGGGGAATCAGAAAGGATGGGGTTTGGGTTTGGTTTTAGGCTTTTTTGAAATAAGTTCTTGTGAAATTGACTTTGATTTGATTTGATTTGATTGAATTTTCAATTGTGATTTATTTTCCATTTGAGAAAATTCAAGAATTTGGAAGCAACATGATGATACATAGAAAACTTTCATATAATGTGACACACAGAAAATGGGTTATCTGGAATCCAAGTAACAAAAAGACTGAATTGTTTTTTATTTCATTCATTTTTGAATACATGATAATGTTTTGCCTTACATCCTTTTTTGCCTCCTTTGTTTTGTTTTTAATGTCACAAATTTGGTTCCAAATTTTTATTAAAATCAGTTGTGGTAGTTAACAATTTTTTTTATCAATCTATGGTTATTGTATATTATTTATTATATTTTTGAATAAATTAATTGTTCATCATAGGAGGAAATCAAAAAGGGAGTGCATTAGTATGTTTTCAATGTTGATTCTTTTTTTAGTTGAGTTATATGTTGGATTATTTGATGACATCAATTTGAAAAAAAATTGAAAAATCTTGGGGAAATGAATAAAATAATTGAAGAAATTGTATTAAATGACAGTTGTGACCTGATTGTTGATCCATTTAGCAGATATCTCTTTATAATGTATTCCAGCCCACAAGTGTATCAATTTTTCAATAAAGGATGTAGTCATGTGAGCTGCAATAAGTTGTTTGAGAAAATTATGAATTCTAATTGATTTCAATTTGGAACCAATGAAGCAATCCTTCAGGGTGAGAGATCACTTTGAATTGAGATGTAGAGCTTTGATGTTTTGGTTGCACCAATTCAATGACATGAAGCTGACTGATATGACCAGGTGAGTGCTGGTCTTCAGAGGATATATGATCATTTCAACGAGAAGAACATCTTATGCTGATGTAGCATTACTCTCAGCATTTGGATGGTTTGGTGCAGATTCCTGTTTCCAACCAAAAGGGAGAAAGAGGGCGGATATTGAGAATGGTGGTGAAATATGTGTAAAACTAACCCTCATGGGTTGAGCATGTAAGAGAAAATTATTCATGGTTAATAGCTACTACAGAGACTGTATTAGCCTACCTGGAGTGGGTGCAATTATCTGGGAATGGTGTACAAAACAAGGTTTGCGATACATCCTTGCTCAATGCTACACGGCAATTCTTTTATTGATGACAAGATTTCAAGCATTGATCAGAATGAGAGAGTATTAGATAACTTAGTATTGGCATGCCTTTTGTACTTCAAACCTTTGAAAGCGGAGGCCCGCCGCTGATATGCTAGTAACAAACTAACTTACAAAATGCAAGAGGTGTCAAGGTGACAATGCAAAAATCAAAAAAAAAATCACAATTCCCGGGTGCGAAATTCAAAAATCAAAGACAAAACTACAGAAAATACTCAAATACAGGGCAAAAAACCCTGTACTGGCCAACTCCTCAGTTAGCTATGGTGCTATTGACTGAGTTGTATCTATGGGATCTGTTCATGAGTTGAACCCTTCACCCACATTGACCTCTCTTACATGTGTGTCAGAGAGGTTGTGATGGGGGAGTGGCGGAGCCCTGCCTTTGGGTTGGTTCTTGAGAACCAAACGCCCAGCCGGCCTCGCGCCTTCAACCCACCCACCCTCCGAGTTGACAAATCCGGGCTTGGTACAAATGTGAGCTCCGGGCCCCACCACTAGGCGTACCGGTCCTTGGCTCATTGCCTAGCCACCCGAGCTCACCTACCTCGATGAAGCCTGGACCAATTACTCAAGTAGAGTTTGGTGAACTCAATTGGCAATCCTTTGGAGGTGTCTCTGCGCATGGTATGATGTCTGTATTTCACTTGATTTCCTAAACCTTAACACCTGTTTTAATTCATCTTCTCTCATCTATTAATTGTAGGAACTTCTTTGTATCTTCTTTGTCCTCCTCTGAGTAGGCCTTTAGATAACGCAGGTAAGTCAGAGAGCTCCATCTTCCCTGCCTTGCTATCTTTTCCATTGGGGTACCCAGGTTGTACCGTATTGATGCCCCTCCTACTCTGAAAGAATGACCCGACCAAGAATTCAGGCCTGCTTTACCCCAACTATCTCCTGCCAATTTCAAAAACCGCGACTTTGTCAGGGCTTTTACGCCTTTAGCGTTTGTTGTCACAAAGATCACATCATCCCGGTCTGTGTTCTCATTTGCTAGGAGGATCCTTTCTAATGCTGCCACCTGTGGCTGCTGGACAGCCCAAACATAAACCAATGGAAAACATGTATTTATTGTTGGCTACTAGCCAAGACCCCCCTTCCGACGCGCCCGCCGTGGCGACGCGGCCGACACGTCGGATCCAACACTGATCTTCAATGAAATTTTTCAATAAATTTCATCACAGCCTGTGGCTCCACAGATATGAACACCTACTATATGAGAATTACTTTTTTACGCAGGAAGTGCATTCACATATACTCAAATGGCCTTCACATATATGTAAATGGGATTCACATATGTGTGAATGGAATTCACATATATGTGAATGGGATTCACATATATGTGAATGGCCTTCACATATATGTGAATGGCCTTCAGATACACGTGAATGTCTTGGATCTCTATATCACTTCCGCCTCCACCTCCACCTACATCCACTATCAAATATGAAGCCACACATAATGTCACATTCACATGCATGTGATATGCCTTCACATACTTGTGAAGTCCATACATATATAATCTACATATGAAAAAAATACGTACAACCAAAACACGCACATGTGTAGGTTTGAATCACATATATGTGAATGACCGTCACATATATCTGAATCCAAATCACATGAAATCACATATATGTGATTTTGATGGAAACACACACATGTGAATCCAAGTCAATATGAGAATTTGCATCACATATATGTGAATCTGATTCACTTATGTGTTCACATATATGTGATTTTGAATCACATATGATTTTGAAACCTGAACATATATCCAAATCACACATATAATCCAAATCACATATATGGGAATTCAGATCTGAACATATACGTGATTTTGAATCACATAAATGAAATCACATATCTGATTTTGAATCACATCTATGTAATTTGAAATCACACATATGTAAAACCCAAAGCACATATATGTGACTTGGGTTCACATATATGTGATTTCAAATTACATAGATGTGATTTGAAATCACATGTATGTGAATTCCAACCTGAACATATGTGAAATCGAATCACATATATGAAATCACATATATCACAGTGACATTTTACTACTCACTGGCAGCCCAGTGAGTACGTCCAGCTCAATTCAATCTCAATTCAATCTCAAAACAATCTCAATTCAATCTCAATGTTTGGCCTAGAGGGGCAGACAAACAATCTTCCGAAATGAACTGAAATAAAGTTTGGTTGCATGTCCACACATGAAGACTTGAGAATGTTTGGAAGGTATGAGTGATCTTCAGGTAAGCCACAACCAAATATCCTTCTGAGCCCCTTCCAAAGCTTCTACAGCAAAACATAAGTTGACAGATATTGAGAATATTACTCATTGACCAAATCAAGAGCTCCTTGAGCAACACCTCACCAAAGATCACATGAATCAATATGTTTAGGGTTATCAGTCCCCAACTCTTTCAACTACCAAGGACAAGCAACATGATGAATCTGGGACAGTTTGAAGCAGGTTTTCGACCTGAGGATTGCTACACCAAAGCTGTCTGTTGATTGAATTACAAAGAAGCATGAGTTAATAAATTCAATCTCTCAGTTTGACTAATGTGCTATCAAAGTTATTGCCTTGTTGACTGAGGTGATTCAGTTGAGTCACAAAATCTGACGTTCAGTCAGATTTCATCACTCAACTCAACCACCCAAGTCAACAAGGGTCAATAAATTTGATAGCACGTTGGTTCAACTAATTGGATTACAAAGAACCATGAGTTAATAAATACAATCTCTCTCTTTTAACTAAGTTGAACTAACGTGCGATCAAAGTTATCGCCTTGTTGACTGAGGTGATTGAGTTGGGTTACAAAATCTGACATTCAGTCAGATTTGGTAACCCAACTGAATCACCTAAGTCAACAAGGGTCAATAACTCTGATCGCACGTTAGTTCAACTGGGTTCAAAGAGAAAGATTGGATTGACTATATACACATACACCCATCTGGTGAACATAATGTTGAAATATTCTAGCAAGCAAAATCACCCTACAACTAAACTACCACAATGTCTAGACTTCCGCATGTTCTAGAGGGAGAGACTTGACTGGATGGTTGACTAATAATCATGAATTTGGTCAGTGTAGAGATCAAATCCAGTGTGATGGTACAAAAGGAGGTGATGTTTGAGTGCACAGATGGCAACAGTGATGAGAGACTGAAGGAGAACAGTGATGAGAGACTGAAGGAGAACAGTGATGAGAGACTGAACACACAGTGCAATCTCAGAATCCTCAGCTTCTTGACGTTTCATACTGAGCTGCTCTTCCAACATGTAACATGTAGCATACACATGATGTAACATGGAACTGTAAGGAGCAACTCAAGGCTGTTACATGTCACTACTGAGGGTTAGGGTTATCCAAACCGCTCAGTCCTCATATTCACCAAGAAACAAGTGGTGCTGTTTCTATTTATCCCAAGTAATTAAACAAAATACAAATGTCAAATTGATTAATATTGGTCTTCATGGCACAGAGCTCTCAGTGGTGAGGCTTCCTCTGTGTTTTCAATGGAATATGAACCCTTGAAAGCTGGTCTGGAGCAGCTTCCAAAATGTTCATAATCCATCGTGAGTCTGCATTGTAAAATATTGGCTTTTGAAAAGAGGGGCCCAATAGAGCAGAAGCAAAAATACATGAGTTCTTTTGCAAAAGTCTAAAATAGATATTTCCAGAGAAAATCATTTTCTGCTGCTTTTTGTACTATACCCATTGGTGGGGTGTTGAAGATGCAGTTCCGCATAATCATATTCCATCCTTGATACTAGGTACATCATGGTCACTTCAGGCAACTACACGTAACTTATATTTCTAAGTGGGAAGAATCAATTCACAACAATCTAGCAATAGCCTGCAGTGCATCATCAAGGCGTGTATGGTTGTTTGTAACCCCCAGTCTCAATTTTTCCAGGTCACCACATTCCCTCAAAAACCCACTATCATAGCAGTTTGCTGGAAGATTACCACATACTTTGGCCAAAGGATTGATCTTGTCGCCCGCTTCACGTCGAGTATCAAATCTCCTAGCTGCTTCAGTCCTCAACTTCACGGTGGCTTGATGATTGAATGAAAGTACATCTATCTTATGAAGCCACTCTCCATACTTGGCACTGCGCCATTCAGGCTGAATTGAGCGCTGTTGACCAAGAGAATCATCCTCAGTATCAGAGCAACATGCTGCTTCTGGCAAGAGATCTATAAAGTCTTGGAGGAATTGTTTGACAGTGGATTTACGGTATATAAAGAGCTGTAGACTGTTTCAGTATGGCCATCACAACTTGATAGGTTGCCAAAAGGACTAGGATACTTACATCTCGTCGCTTCCTACTGCGCTCCCGCTGTGCAATCTTTTCCGGAGAGGCAAACTCATTCTTCCAGTCTTCAATTCGCCCAATGACCCATCGAGTAACAATACCAATATAGATAACTTCCTTCTCCCATTCGACATCCAGTCCAAACTTTTGAAAAGCAGATGCCCTCCTGGCAAACATCCAATGCTTCACGGTGAAAAAAATCATCACTTGATTCCATGCAGCGTCTTCACCTCCCTGAGCTTCCCAATCAAAAGTAAAAGGTCCTACAATTTGGTGGTTGGCCATATCAGTGTGCAGAAGAGCCTTGAAAACACTCCAGTCCAATGGATTTGGGTGATTGTTGGAGCTGTAGTTGACAAAGACTGAGGTGTTGGTCAGGATGTCTTCCTGTGTTAGAGGTGTGAGTGACATCAGCTGATCATCATTTGGCGGGTTGGGGAAATGTGGGTGATTCCTCGTGTGGCCAAGCAGGTAACGTGTGAACTCGGCAAAAGATTTACAGGTGGGGGAGTTTGATGTTGGAAGTATCTTGGCAAATGAGCGGTTTTTGGCCTTTCGACCTTTTGGTGCGGCACCATTGGGCCAAGCTGGGGCAGAGTTTTGTGATGTGGACGCTGAGTAGAATGGAACCATGTCAATTTAAGGGGTTGAGGAGATGAGGAATGGGGAAATTTATACCCATGGTTCTAAATTGATAATCACAGTTGTGAACTTATTTCTGTCAAAACTATAATTGAATGATTGAGAGTGGCAACCTTGAAAATCCAAAAGTATGTTGAGAGTTAGTTGAGTGAAATGTGGTCAAGGTTGAGGTTGAGTTACGTGAACTGTGGCAGACTGGATTCTCCGCAAAGTAACTCCTTAAAAGGGAAACTTCCATCTATGGCTGTCACAGATTGTGAAATCTGATTTTCACAACACAGGTGACACAAGGAACTCATACTCAAAAAAAATGTTGGGAAAACTATCCAAATTTCAATGGTAACAAAAACAACAAATTATATAAGATAAGAGCAGCTGTTCAGGAGGAAGAAAACGCCATGGAGTTGCTTTTCCCAAGCTTTGTCTTCAAAATATCAATGGCCGACTTAAGGTCAACTGTGGTGTCTGACAACTCCAAACTGTCAATTGTGATCTCATCTATCCCTTCGGTGAGTATTTCTGGCTTGATGAGGCATCTGGGAAGAGTCTTGGGAGGAAGTTGATCTTCCGGATCAGGAACATTTGGCGAATATCCTCCTCTGGACTGGAAAAATTCTTTCAGTCTATCCTTTTGTTTTTTGGTGCTCTCCCTTTTGGGAGCTGCATCATCAGCCAGTTTGATCAATTCATCAAGCTGGGGGGTCCGCCAGTTGAGCTTGACCTTCCTAAACTTCCCAGGCTTGTCTGGGTCCATTTCAGTCTCAGAATGAACCTCTTGAGAGTTTAGCAGGACTTTGAGTGGACCGGTGAAGTGACAAAAGTAGGGCTCTACTGCTGCAGCCCGTTTTTCACAGAGCTGCACATGCACATGTCAGTATGGGTGCTTTAGAGAGTGGCAACAGTGAAAGGGGATATAATAGTTACCTTCTTCCTAATGGCTTTCAAAGCAGTTTTCTCCCTCTCCGTAAGTTTTTGGCGGACAAGCTTGTCACTTCCTCCTTCTGTAGACACCAACTTCTTTTCCTTTGCCTCATCTCGGAAGACTCTGCGCTTATTCGAGACCCAGCGTGAAAGTATTTCTCTAGTTTCAAGGGGAATATTGAGGCTGCTGTCGATTGGGAATCCGGAAGGTACACCTCGAGCATTGTAACAATCTAACCAGCTAGTAATTAAGTTGTATAACATAGCCATGTTCCAAGGAGTTTTAGGAGGACTCGTCCATTGGAAAGTGATGTGAGAGAAGCCACAGCCAGCAAATTTAGCTTCAGCACATCCTAAGCGAGTGGCATCGTAGGTGGTAATCGAGGCAGTAGCATGGGCCACTCGGGAGATAAATTTAGGAGGGGGAAAAGCCTGGTTAAACATGAGAACAGCTTCTTTTGACACCATAATCCTCATTTGATGCTTGACAGATTCATTTGCTGAGGGGTTATTTTTGAAGTGCTCGTCCATCTTTTGTTGAATGTTGAAATCCAGATATTTTGTCCTTGTGTCAGAATAGTTGGCCCACTGTTCAACCTCTTCAGGAGTTGGTTCGTCAGGAAGGTGGCGTGCCAGGAGGACAGCAGCAGAGATGTTAGGAGATGACCGGGTGCTGGATTGACGAGGAAGACCAAGTAAAGCCCTAGCCCACTCTTGAACAGCAGAGGTCAGGCCTACAAGCTTGAGACTATCTGTGGGCTCTTTCCGGGCACGCATTTCCTCAGCATCAGTTTTGCGCTGTTGTTGTCTACGCTTTGCTTCCCTCTCCTTGGCAATCTGAACAGCAACAGCTTGCTCAAAATTAAGTCCAGGCTCTTCCTCTGGATGATCTATGAGGGTGGATGTGATTGTAAGAGATATGTCAGTTTGATCCTCAGCCTTACATGAAATGGAGACATGTCTGTACTGACTATCAAGCTGATCCATGATGGGATCCCTTTCAGGCACTGCAGGCCCACTGTTGGTCCCCCCACTGTTGGTACCTGGATCAGCCGGATGGTATGGATGGAATTAGTTGATGTACAAGGTTAATATGCAAGGTTATGATGCATGAAGATACCTGAGGTTCCTTCCATTGCTTTGCGTTTGGGAATTTTGGCAAGGTTTCGTGAAAAAATGTATTCAAGTTGGATAATCAGACTCAGAAGTTGAAATTGTGAAGATGAGGAGTTATTGATCCAATTTGAGTTGAGAAAGTGAATAGCAGAGAATAAAATTCAGATGGAGAAGTTGAATGTTGATGGTTGGGAGCAGGATTGAGTTGCAGCAACCATCAACTGGTTTTGTTGAGGATTGAAATTGTTCCCTTTGTCTTGAAAATTGTTTGGGAAAATCCAAGTGGGTCTCATTTGGATTTGCCCAAATAGCATAGAGTGGCAAAAACCTGAAGGAGGCCAGTGTGTTGCTCATGGTAGCACTGGCTGCATGTAGGCCTAGTAGGAAACAATTTCAAAGGCTGCTATTCTTTGAGTAATTCAATAGATTCCTCTCAACACTTGAGTATGAAGAAAGCAAAATTGGTTCCAGGACAACAAAACAATTGCTACATTCTGATCAAGCAAACAAAATTGAAGCTGCTGAATGAAATTGGGAAACAAATCTAATCTTTGGTGGGTGATCACCTGGCCAATGCTATCCGTGTTGCTCCTAATTTCATTCATCTTTGCTAATTTAACGGTTCAGAAAGATTGATGTTGCCAAAAAACACTGCAAATTTGCATATAATGTATATAGACCTAATTTTTCCCTAGCCCTGACCATGTTATAAAGAAATGAAGTCCGCTCAATTGGCCTCTGTACCAAGTTCCATGTTGCAATTGGAATTGCTTTCAACGCACAGGGGGCATACAAAATTGAAGACATTTAGTAAAAATTCACCCATAATATTACCAGACAAATAAAGACTTACATTCAAATCCATTGGATGATTTGACTGATGCACCAAAGGAGCATCAATAGGTAAAAAGGAATTCTCTAGCTTCCTTTACCACTTCCTTAAAATGTTGGGTCATTTCAATCAACATAAGAATGCTGGTGGGTTCAACTTGGCCTTCAACCTCGTCCACAAGCTGGATGAGCTGAATTCTGCGCTCCCACAGATCTTGGGCTAATCGAATTTTTTGTGCATATGCGTAAAGAATAGAGTTCCTTTCAATATGTCTTTGAAGTAGTTCCGCTTGACTCTTGTTCATTGCAACTAGATGAAGTGAAAAGGAGCTAGATAAATTGTGATGTGCTGGAGATATTTGAATGATGAAGATTTGGTGAATGGGTAAATTTGAGTTCAAGATGATTTGATATAACCCCAGAGGTGATTTAAGGAGATTGGATAGGGAGAGATTGGAGCAAGATTCAAAGTGAACAGAACATGTATATAAGCCCAACAGAATGACTTGCCCAATGGTGATCTGATTGGGCAAGTCATGATGGCACATCTTCTGATGTCAAGTCATGGTGGTATCATGAGTCAAGTAATTCCTGGTGATTTGGAGAATTTTGCTTGGTGGGAAATTGAAAAGTCATTTTCTTATGAAAGAAAAGAAAAAGAACACCAAGCTAAGAAAAAGCAGAGCCCGGGAAGAATATGAGGCCTAATGATGCTTCAGGATTGTTAACTGTGATAATGAATCTTATTTATGTATATAATTACACATGAAGAAATCATGAGGCCAACTGAGAAGAGCAATAAATATCAGGTTGTATAGTTTCAGATAAGCAAATCTGGAGGGCAGCTGAGTAGTAAAAAAGTACATTATCATTGATGGCATTAAAAAAAACCCCGTTTTCACTTTGCACTTCCTGGGCCGTAATGTCATTTACCCGGGGTCATCATGACGACAAGACCTCACGGGGCCAGCATGTCGCGACTTGCTGACCCAGGTATTGCCAGGAGGGGTCAGCAAGTCGCGACATGGTGGCCCCGTGAGGTCATTTACCCGGTGCAGCAAGTCGCGACATGCTACTACGGGGTCAGCATGTCGCGGCTTGCTGACCCCTCCCGGCAATTTCTTTTTTTTTTTTTTTTTTATGCGCACATGGGTCAGCAAGTCGCGACTTGCTGACCCA